TTTTGATCCATGGTGCATTGATAATACCACGTACGCCATTGTCAGAAAAGGGTAAATGTCATTACTGTGGACACGCCCACCCCTTTTTATACACATGTACCTATAGAAGCATAATCGTCCACTGTGGCATCGTTACCCCCTCTAATTGGCATGGATCCAGAAGACTTCTCCCATATTGACCTCTGTGGCACTATCGTTATTATACATGTTGACTTGTCTGCTACTTGGTTGAGCCACCTGCCCAGTTAGCGACCATGAAAATAACAAAAAATGACAACATTCCACCGTTAAAGTTTGATTAAAGTTGTGATTCATCGTTGCCTATATACCAATGTCTCATTTTCTCTTTAAAACCAAGTTTTTGCAGTCGTGATGAAGCACAGCTGCCCTAGTTACGGTACCGAAAGGACCATTAGCCCCATATAACTGAACTGAACATTAACTGAACATTTTAAAGGGATGGGTGTGGTGTGGGGAAGCAGCCCCCCCCCCCCCCATGATTTCTGTTGGCAACCCCGTTATCGGTGTCGGCCAATTCGTAGTTTGCCATGCCTTGTCAGCAAGTTTAGAAATCTGGGTACCGCTTATAATGCATTTTCTCCTGTAATTTATAAACAGATTCGCAAATATTTGGTCCGACAACCACAAAGACCTTTAGATTGGTTGAACGGATCCTCTGGGGTACGAGCGCGGACAAGTTAAATACTATGTAGATAGGATATTGTAATATCTGTATCAAAGTTATTGATGAAATAGAGATGCAATCATTGACCCATAAGTGAGAATAGAAATGAAAAGCCATTGCTGATGGTTATATAATAATAACTGCGTCTATTCGAGTAAGACTCAAACAACGCCAGTTTTCCAGCCCAAGGAGTTTTCTCCTTGAACAGACCATGCACGTGAAGAGACATATTGTGTGATACTAAAGGTCGTGTATCCCGCTGCATTCATGATCAAATGAAATGCTTAGGCAACGAAACTAGAACTTTCTCGGGAATGAAACAGAACACTGCCTCGCATCATCACGTTATACACCTAATCATGGCAAGCACACAAGAATGTGACACTTCAGTCATCACATCTTTCAAAAAGTGAGTTTACATAATCATTCACCATTATAGATGGGTAAAAGAGAGTCATCAAACATTCTCGAGGTGCCCCGAACATGTTGACTGTATATAACTCGACAGCAGAACATTGAAATAAGTCATGAAATGATAATATTAATGTAAACATGCCAATCAGTACCTTCTTATAAGGTGAGTGTGGTATGGGTGTGGGTGTGGGAGAGGTTTTAACAAAACCAGTTTCATACTTTTTGTCCGAATAGCTAGTTTACTGCTTCCCAATGCGTTTTGCGTTATGTACAACATATTGTTAGCAGTGCATGCAAGAAAGGGATGCACCTAAATCCACTACCATCTTACTCCAAAGGAATTTGCAAAACTCAGTCACTACCAACCAAATCATGGTAGTTCAAGCTTGCTCGTCAATAAAATTATCGTTGACGACTTACAAAAGGTATTGCGAAAATAGCAGCATACCTGTAGTGACACGGTCACGTAAATTATATTTGTATGAGAAAGGCTGAATACCAAGCTTTATAAAAATATGTGAACCCATATCCTTTTTTCTTAAGAATCTGATATTTTTACTCCTATATTCCACTTAAATGCCACTGTGCTACTTTGTGTATCGGGAAATAATCTTTTCAATTTAATAGCGCCAGTCATGTGCTCACCCCCAACTTACCCCCCCCCCCCCCCCCCACATTTTGTTTGCAACCAGCAGACTCGGGGCCGCATGCAGACCGGTGGTTCGATCTACCTTTGCCACTCTCCACCCAAGTACTAAATGGGTACACCCGGTAGGATGCGAAAGTTAATGTGGTTGGATGAGCAAGTGGCGCTTGTAAAATGGCGACTGGCCAAATGCTCCCCAAGAAGTGGGGAATGTGCATACATTGTGTGCGGGTAAGCATGAATCCGATGAACGGGGTAATAATATGCACTGCGCCTAGAAACAAAGTATTAGGCGCATTTAAATGTGAGCTATTATTATATACTGGAGGTCATGGAAGCTCCTGTTATTTTTTATGCCTCCGTTACGAAGTAGCCGGAGGCATTATGTTTTCGGGTTGTCCGTCCGTCCGTCCGTCCGTCCGTCCGTCCGTACGTCTGTACGTACGTCTGTACGTACGTCCCGTTCTCGTGATCACGTTATCTGAAGAACGGATCAATGGATTCCTACCAAACTTTGGTCATTTATGTATCTAGCAAAGTCGATGAACTGATTAGATTTTGGGGTCACGAGGTCAAAGGTCAAAGGTCACAGGGCTCATTATGTATGCAAAAACAGTTCGTGATCGCGTTATCTGAAGAACCGATTGATGGATTCCTGCCAAACTTTGGTCATGTATGTATCTTGTAGAGTCGATGAACTGATTAGATTTTGGCGTCACGAGGTCAAAGGTCAAAGGTCACAGGGCTCATTATGTATGCAAAACGGCTCGTGATCGCGTTATCTGAAGAACCGATAGATGGATTCCTGCCAAACTTTGGTCATGTATGTATCTTGCAGAGCCAATGAACTGATTAGATTTTGGGGTCACGAGGTCAAAAGTCAAAGGTCACAGGGCTCATTATGTATGCAAAAACAGCTTGTGATCGCGTTATCTCAAGAACCGATTGATGGATTCCTGCCAAACTTAGGTCATGTATGTTACTTGCAGAGCCGATGAACTTATTAGATTTTGGGTAACGAGGTCAAAGGTCAAAGGTCACAGCGCCCATTATGTATGCAAAAACAGCTTGTGATCGCGTTATTATTAGAACAGATTGATGGATTCCTGCCAAACTTAGATCATTTATGTATCTTGCAGAGCCAATGAACTGTGTAGATTCTTGGTTCATAAGGTCCAAGGTCATGGGCTCATTATGTATGCAAAAATAGCTTGTGAACGCATTCTCATTAGAACTGACAGATGGATTACTATTTAACTCTGGATATCTTGCAGAGCCAATGAGCTGAGTAGATATTAGGATCATGAGGTCAAAGTTCAAAGGGTCATATATGTATATGAGAAATTGTTTGTAATCACGATATTCTGAGAACCTGTTAATGGATTACAATTGAACTTGAATTTGAAAAATTTCTTCCGTTTTGGTTTGTAAAATTGCTCTATGACGGAGGCATCATTTTCGACTGCGCGCAGTCGAATTCCATCTAGTTTTATTTGCTTTTGACGTCCAATTTATAGCAAAAACAGATAAGGAATATTGATCTACCTCTGAATTTACACCTTTTCCACAGGCACGCACACGCACCCACACACACACACACACACGCAACAACATACACACACATACGCACGCACGCACGCACGCACGTACTGTATTAACGGACCAACGCTCCGAATGACCTGATTGAACGGCGTTGAACTGGTACCCCTTAGAGCGTTAATGATGGGCAAGGATCCAAGATTTCGCCCAAAGCTATCAAGAACCACAAATTTAAGCACTCGTACACCTGACAGGATCATTACCCGTATGTAAATAATTTGCTGTTTCTCATACCATAGGCTCATACCCGCGTAAGGATTCAGTCTACCGAATATCTGCTAGATCCATCTCCTGTCTTTTGCTCTTTTGTCATTCATGAAAGCGTTTGATCAGTGAATGGGATGTGATATTAAATGCCGTTTTCCTCAAGATAATTATTAACCATTAAAGCGTGATAGAGAGAAAATGAAAGACTTCCGAAGTTTAACGAATCGTCAATGAGTTTAGCAGCATTTACGATATGGGGTTCTAGATCAGTGCTCTGAACGCTGTTTGAACTGTTTAATTATCATTCATTGGAACTTAATTTTTTCGTCTTTCCCTCTATTTCTATTTTTAACTCTAGTGTTGATGAATCATTCCTGAATATGAAAATGATATTCTTTTTCTAAATAATATTATATCCTGCATCAAAAATTTGTTGGCTTTTGATTAGTTGATAGCTCGTCACATGACCAGAAATATTTGAACTATTTTTTAGAAAGTTCTATATGAGAGTACTATTTGGGTTTACTATTTGAGAGTTGATATTTTTTTTTTTTTTTTTTTTTTTTAAATCTTAATTGAATGAAAACAAAATATTTGAAATCTTTTAGATAAAATTTAAATTTTGTTTTTGTTCTAAAAAAAAAATATCTTACCAATTTTTTTTTTTTAAATTTAATAAAATGTTGATGCAGGATATAAAACAAATAAACCATGCCTCTATTCGAGGTACTGGTTAAAACTATGGGCCTCGGTGACTCCAAAAGTACCATTTGCTTCGGGGCTGCGCCCTCAGCAAATAGTACTATTGGAGTCATCTCTTGCGCATAGTTTTAACCAGAACCTCTCAAGACAGTGTATATTTGTATACTAGTCTTGAAGTAAGGTAATGACGCAAAATTTAATTCTAATATTTTGTATAATTAAGTATATTATTGGCCCTCCACGCTCTATTTCTATTTCTGCTTCTGCTACCAATAACACTTCGTCAACGACTACTACTATACCAGGCCTGTACTATACTACTGCTTTACTATTGCTACTTTACTATACTACTGCTGCTGCTACTACTACTACTACTAGCTACTACTACTATTATTTTGTTGTTTACTATCACTGCTACTAACTGTCATACTGCTACTATCGAATTTTCAAAGGTATGATAACATTGAGAAAAAAAGCAATAAAGATAATTGTACAGCAATGTAAATGAGAGCTATTTAATCAGAATACACTATGAATATGGCGGACAAAGAAAGCGGGCAAAATATACAGTTCCTCAGGTAGACAAAGGAACATCCCTTCTCTGCTATTATGTAAAAAGGTGAATATGCATGTGACACCTGTGCTACACATTTTTACATAATAGCAGTGAAGGGATGTTCCTTTGTCTACCTGAGGAACTGTATATTTTGTCCGCTTTCTTTGTCAGTAATGTTCATAGTGATAGTTAACTGAAGATAAAATATGATAATACGACAACTTGACTATGAACTATTTCTGTGGTTGTTCTTTGCAGGCTGGTCATACAATAATGACAATCCCCGCGAAGAATGGCATCTCATCCCGGGTAGCTACTGCAATGGAACCTCCCAGTCGCCTATCAATATCAACACCAGCATCGCCATCCACATTGATCTTGGTTCCTTATCTCCGGATGGCTATACCGAGGCTAACCCTAACTTGGAAATTGTAAACAACGGGCATGGAAGTAAGGATACAAAGATCATATTACTATAATCTGATGAATAACATGACTAAGTAAAGCAACATGACTCTATTTTGATAAATAAAATGACTATATTACGATGAATAATAATTACCACAACTACAAGCTATACGTGTGATGACTAACAAATATAACCATTGTTTCCTCTCTTCTCCTTTTAACGTAGTAACCGTCCAATTGCATGAAGCTGTTGAGGCCTTTTACACGCTCTCTGGGGGCGGTCTCCCTACTACCTACACAGCTTCCCAGTTTCACTTTCACTGGGGGTCTATCAACTCTCAAGGCTCAGAACATCTAATTAACAGCAATGCCTTCCCTGCAGAGGTGAGTCATTTACAGTGGGGAGGGGGTGACCCCTTCTTTTTATTTCTTTTCAATAAATGTTATAGTTTCAGGATTTTCTCCTCCTTTAAAGGTAAAGACCAGTTATGGAAACGCCCCCCTCTCAAAAAAATGAAATGGAAGTTCTTTTTACCAATCATGTGAAAGAATATGTTTTGACGAATACGTGATGATACAAATTTAGCAGGGAAACCGCCAACTAATTAATATATTTGGTAAATTATTATATCTATCCGAACAGGATAGATATCGCGCACGTGGTGCGTAGTCCCATATGCATCTTTCTGTGTACAGTGCTTGTAACTTTACCAAGACTGGGCCAAATTTCTTATCATTTTCATGTTTCCAGAACCTTGCACTACACTCCAATACTTATCTGCTAGATGATCAACCTTTTCTGATCGATTCCACAACGTTTCTTTCACAATTCAATCGCATGACCAGAACTCGGGTCTTTACCTTTAAGTGAACTGAACAAAGAAAACCACTAAATTATGTTATTCTGTTGATAACCTCGTTTATTGCCAATCCGTACGACCTTCGGTGAGATAATTCTTGTTAAGGCCAGAAAGAAAAAAAAATCGGAAAATCGATATGTACAATATGAGCTTTTATTTATTGAAAAACATTTAACAACGATTTTTAAATATCCAACAATTGTTAATGTTTTGTGCTTGCGTGCGTGTGTGTGTGTGTGTGTGTGTGTGTATGTGCGCGCGCGCTCGTGTGTGTGTATATGTGTGGTGGTGCGTGTGTGTGTGTGTGTGTGTGCGTGTGTGTATTTTTGTGTGTGTTAACCGGTGGCTGAGATACACACTAACATAGTTTTATAGTTTATACCCATTAATAAGGAATATGTTCGTTACGTGAAAATGGGAAACGATGGATATTTAATGTTTCATATTTTTGTAATTGGTATTGGTATAGATAAATAAATCAATAAATTGCTACTCGAATGGATCATAAATGGATAATAAATCTAAATACTGATCAATCATATCGATTAAATATCTTATCGACAGGGGCGACGGGTGGGCCCAGGCCCAGCCACGAAAGGGGCCCCGACATCACGGAGGAGACTCGGCGAGCGATTTGGGGGTGTATAGGGGGACCTTATCTTTTTTCCCTGTTCCTGTCCCCTATCTCCCTCTCCTACTGTCTGTCTAACTGTCTGTCTTAGATGGTCATTTATTTATTCATTGAATAAATTCAGTGCCCTACATTTGCATGGATACTACTGTACGAGCAGTAGAGTTTGTAAAATATAAACAAAATGTAACTATATAAATGATGATCATCACGAATGGAACAACAAAGTGAAGGAAAAGATGATGAATTAGTAGCGAAATGCTATTTATTTTTACGAAGGAAGAAGATGAACAACGAAAATGAAAAGAGCTACACCCCTTTTTTACTTTAACATTAAGATATTGGTTTGGTTGTTTGGATGTATATATGCGTCTCTATTGTACTACATTTTCCTCATTTATTATTATTATTATTTTGATTTTTTTTGTTGTTGTTGATTTTTTTCTTCTTTCTTTCTTAATTACTGTATTGCCTGTAATTGCTATATTTCCACAATATGGACAAGAATAAATTATAAATTATAATTATCAATTATTATTATTAATCCATTATTGATTTATTCAGTTGCACATGGTTCACTACGACAGGGCCAAATACGCCAATCTCGGGGCAGCTTTAACAAGCTTGCAGTGGGATGCAGTCACCGCAGTGGGTGTGATGATTCAGGTAAGAGCGCCCCCTTTCGGCATAAGCCTGCTGTAATCATAATTTATTATCCCATGACCTTTACAAGTCGATCGCCTGTCTGACTATCAGGATAATTGTGATTGGAATTAGAAATGTTAAAAACTCTTTGCCAAACAGTTTAGAACAGTTTTTTATATTACCACAGTGAAAGTCCATTGGGTAAAATGAGTCACTCAAAGATTTTTACTTTTTTGAAGCACTTCATGATCATTTTGAAGCGCAATCTTTTTAGGGTTTCAATATTACACCATATCACAGACACCGATAACACGTGGGACCATGCATCTCAGATTTGTAAAACTGGAAACATGGTTAAAGTGGATATCACCGGTGAAAAGTCGAGTATCATATTCATTAATTATACATGTAGTTTGGTTATCTAGGAAAGCCTGTCCGCTATTCTGTTTAAAGGTACTATGTCCCATTTGCAGGCCAAAAAAATGAAAAAGTTAAATTCCAACTGCATTTGAAAGATAATACTTATTTATAACTTCCCTAAAAAAGGTGGGGCTTGAAAATGTCTTCAAGTGGGAAAATAATGATTATTAGTTGTCAAATCGACTTTAGGGCTATAGAGCCCAAAAGTAATAGTCTTGATTTTCAGACAATTGTACCGAATGTTCATACGTTTTATGCTGCGCAAAGATTCAATCAGTTTAATCTTGGCCATCACAAGAAGTGGGTTATTGATGTAGACAAAATGCTCATGTACCCTTTACAACTCTTTTCATGTATGTTATTACCAAAGAAGAAAAAAGCCAGTCAGTCACTCAATAGTGTCTTGACAGTGAAGTCTAGCAAGTAAACGGGTTTCCTTGCATAATTTGAATATGAGGACACTGCTAACGTTTAAATTTCACAGATAGGACATACATGACATATTCATAATTCCTGCAAAGTTCCACAGAATTTGAGGTTGGCTGCAAAAGGGACATAGTACCTTTAAGTTCCTTTAAGTTGTGAGCGGTTGTAAGAGGATTAACATTCGAACATTTTTGTCTCCTGTACATTCTTATCATGGCAAATATTTTACTCTCTCTCTCTCTTTTCTCTCTCTCTCTCTCTCTCTCTCTTTCTTTCTCTCTACCCCTCTCTCTCTCTCTCTCTCTCTCTCTTTCTTTCTCTCTCTCACTGTCCCTCTTTCTTTCTCTCTCTCTTTCCCTCTTTCCCTCTATAGATTGGCGAAGATGAGAACACTGCTTTCAAGTCCGTCCTGGATTACGTCAGCCAGATCGCCAATTACTCCTCGGGCAACACTTCCCTGAGCCTCCCATCGTTTTCAATCCGCAGCGTCTTGCCATTTGACCTGGCCCGTTTCTACCGTTACAATGGTTCCTTGACGGTGCCCAACTGCTACGAGTCCGTCATCTGGAACGTCCTTGAAGAACCGATCTCTATCTCCCAGGCTCAGGTGAGTGAGTTTCAGAGAACGGGTTTAAGGGAGGGGGGAGGGGCATGCACTTAGTTGATGAAATTGCAATTTGGTCTACAACAAATATTGGTTGGATACCCATTTTGTCTAATGTCACGTCAATGATCCCTATTTTCTCCCACTTTGTACACACCTCCGGGATCATGTCCGTTTCTAACTTTCTTTTTATTAGTTTAGCTTAAAAATAGCATGATACTCTTAGTTTCGAATGTTTGGTTGATTCTCCTATAATAATGATGAGTATTACATATGAGTATCCACAAACTGTAACAGGAGAGGCACCCCTCTCCGCTTCAAGGCAGAATACCTTGGCAGACCCGAGGCATCTAGCCCAGGGCAAGTTCCATCATTTTTGTCGTTTTTGTTCTTTAATTATTATTCTCCTGAATGTAGAAGAAGGTATTATAGTAGTAGCAGTAGGTACTTATCGAAGAAGAAAAAGATGAAGAAGTATACGAATGATGCACAGGTTTGAGTGCGTCGGTGAGAATAGTGTGCACAAGGTACCTTTGAATGGTTTTAGACCAAATTCAAAGGTACCGCGTGCACACAATTCCACCTACCCACGAATTAAACCTGTGCATCATCTGTTTTATAAGATGGGGCCCCAAAAATCATCAAAAATACAAAATGTTAGTTATTTTACAGATTTACCGGGTGCATGGCAAAATCATGCTTTCCGTTAATTACCGGACGCATGACTTTGCCATATATCTAGTCTAGCCATGCTTTCCGGAAAGCAAGATTTTTTAATTTGCATAATTTGTCCGTTAGTGCAATGGGTGAAAACAAATGTAATGAATTAGGCCTAAACCTTAACAAAATACAGTCAGTAACTGACCTTAACATGAGACCGTAACAAAAGAAAGTCATTAAATCAATACAAAATTATTTTGCAAGCCTTTTGAGTTTTGGGGAGGTGCAATCTAAATCAGAAGAGGTTGGGATCTTGTCCATATCAAGTACAGAAACTGAGGCTTTATGTGTGGTGCTTCCCGGCCCCTCTCGCTTCAGTTTCACCCAAAACCCTAAACAATTACGTGCATGTGCTCTCGGGAAATTGAAATTTGTTACAGATATCTAAAGTATAGTGATCCAAAAAGTGGCGTTGTAATTGTATGCCATAGCGCGTTTTAGCAAAGGTACTAAATAAAGATACTTCTAGGTTTACAACTCACCGGGACAACTCACCGTCAGTCTATGTACAGAAGCATAGAACTTATAGTTTAGAACGATAACAGTTCATCCAATTCTGGCGTTAAAATGTCTGCTAAATTGACGTTCTTGATATGTGCAAACTTTTCCCACTTTGAGAATCCATTCTTTAATTGACCTTTTCATGCTATAGCTGCATCCGAATCATCCAACAATTCTTCTTCTTACAGAAGCTGGAAAATCAGATTTCGCCATCTACTTTTGGGGTTGTTTTTTTCCTTAGTGGAGAAGTTAAGAGAAAAGATGCAAACAATCGGGATATCGGTGTTATCGATTCCAATATCGCATATATCGTGTTGATATCGCGTGCATATCAACACACGTATGTTAAAAAAAAAAAATATGAAGAAAAAAAAAATCCAGTAAAAATAACTACACGGTAATTGACCAATCAGAATGCAGAGATTCTTTTACCCATCTTATAATAAATAGAAGTAGTAGTAGTAGTAGTAATAGTAATAGAGGTAGTTTAGTTGTAGGAGTAGAAGTAGTACTAGTAGAAGAAAAAAAAGAAGAAGAAGTAATAGTTTGGTAGAAGGAGTATTAAAAAATTTCAAGAGCAGTGTAACATTAACTGGCTGAATAAAGAAAGAAAGTTTGTCATTCCGATGCAAGCTACGACTTCCAATTTCAACATGTCTAAGTATTCGATTTGTAAATGACTAATTCTTGAACAATCAATAATAATTAATTCGTTTTTGTTCTTCTAACAGCTTGACACTTTACGCAACGTGTACGGCGACACCAGGGACAGCGCAGGCAATTACGAAACCACCGTCAACAACTACCGTCTCGTCAACCCTCTGAATGACCGCACACTCTATTACAGCAGACCTGAGGACCAAGGTGAAGGAGACGAAACTTCTACTCCCGAGCCTACTGATGGCGGTGCAGTTGCCATCTCACCGATGAGGGCACTGTTTATTGTGGCACTTGCACTTTGTATGTTGTTCAATCGCTTTTAGATTTAATCAGACACCGACGTGGTTTTTTTTTCTTCTTCTTATACTGGGAAATTAAGTTATTACGGATTTAACAATGATGAATAATTAAACACAATATTCCTGCCAAATCTAATAGCTTTCACTGATGGGGGGGGGGGTGGTGCTTGACCTTAAAAGAAACTCATTTCAATTTGATTTGTAATGATTGGTTGGTACATGTTTAATGAACTTTTTTATTTATAATGAATAGGACTTCAGTTTCTGAATGTTAATGGAAGTGAATCTGATCGCTTTGAGAAAATAAATGAAAATATGAGTAATGTATTTGACAGTATAAACAATATCCCTTTTTCTGTTCGACAATTGTCAACAACAAAAAAATGAGTTTATTTGATTGATCTCCCTAGATGTAAACTTTGATTGTGAATCATGTGAATCTTTGTGTCGATGTTACTGAGGTCTTAACGGTAACTTTTAAAAATTTCTTACAGTACTGTTGGCTCTTATAAATGTACGTCTTTCTGTGTATGAAATATATTAGACATTATTGTGTGATTATCATAACAATAGAAGAATATAGTATTTGTGTCAAGCAGATAAATTAACCGTCGTTCACTGAGGGGAACCAGTCAAACGATTTCAACAATACAGTAGTTAATTTTATAGGAAAGTATTCATATATCTCTGTGTGAAACATTAGTGTTAGTATGTACTAATTATTTGTGTCGCGAAAATGGTCCTTAATATTTACATTTGCTTTGTAATACTCTCATTGTGTACTGGACCAACTATATACATAGGCTTTACCGGTTTTATTTTGTACATATATTGATATCGGGGCTCGAAATGTGCTATATTTGATTAGCATGATTTTTTTTTAAAATTTAATTAAATTTGTAGAGAGATAGGTAAATTTATGGGGGTTGAAATTGTTTTATAGACTTGTTTCATCCGTATTTATGAACGGCTTTAATATAATCTCTGTTATCATTGTACAGAAAACACAACAGAATTATTCATTTTTATCATCCATCATTTAAAGCGGACGAATGAGGAGCATTATTGACTCGGGTAGATATTGTCCGCTGGATAGTGGCAACCATGGATAATTTTCCGACCTAGGGTCATGCACGTCCCAAACAAGAGGTCGGAGTTCAAACTTTCTGTTCAGGGCTCTTTTTATGTAAAAGAATGGTACTAATGAAGACGTGTAGTCTATACATAATGTATATATATGCTTCTAAACAGATTCCTGATGTATTATTAAGCTTTCATTCATTTTTTTGTGTGGAACATGACCACTTTGAAGGTAAAGACCAGTTATGGTCATGCGATTGCATTGTGAAAGAAACGTTGTGGAATCGATCAGAAAAGGTTGATCATCTAGCATCTAGCATCTGCAAGGTTCTGGAATCATCAAAATGATAGGAAATTTGGCCCATTCTTCGTAAAGTTACACGCACTATACACAGAAAGATGTATATGGGACTACCCTATATCTCTCACAGACCATGAGAGAAACAAATTTACCAAATATATGAATTAGTAGGCGGTTTCCCAGCAATTTTTTTATCATCATGTATTAGTCAAAACATATTCTTTCACATGATTGGTAATGAGAGCTTCCATTTCATTTTTTGAAATTGGGGCGTTTCCAATACTGGTCTTTACCTTTAACTAAACTAATGAAGCATGCAAATAAGAATTGAATCTTTGTGTGTGTTTTTTACTGAACAAAATGTTTACAAAATTCGTAATATATATATAGTCAGTTTTTTTCTATATTTCAAATTTTGCCGGTATTCAAGCCTAAAATCAATTCGAGATGGAGGATTGATTGTTTAACAGACCTTCATGTGGAGGTGTCTTGGTAATGTGGTTCATTCGCTTGACACTCAATCAAAGGGTTGAGTGTTCGAATCCCATTAGAATGCGAAAGTCCTTGTACATTGCTCAGCATTGTGAACATCTGTACAATGACGCTTAGCTGTAATGCGAACGGACATTCCTGAATGCGATGACTGGGATAATAATAGTTTCTGTAAATCGCTTAGAGACGTCGTAAATGTATTAAGCACTGTATAAGACCAAAATATTAATATTATTGTTGTTGTTGTTATTAATATTAAATGATGTTGGCCCTGTTTGCTAAAATTAACTTAAGAGATTTTATCACATTGTAATAAGTATTCAACAAAATTCTTTTCATTTAGCTGGCAACTATAGTCTAGTGGGGGTCGGCGAATATGGTCTTATAACAATCCTCACCCGATGTCTATCATTTATTATGTTATGTCACATAGAAAACTTTATTCAAGGAAATCGTTTTTGAAAGACTATAATAATCATTTCTGTCATGTTGTAAAACATTCTGAATCAAAATGTTCTTGTTTACCAAATATTAAAGTAATAAAATGTTTTTGTTAACGTGGCATGTTGCTGTTTGTGCCATAACATTATTTAGGGTTATTGATTGTGTAAGATTGTCCTAAAATAGTGTGTAACATTTTGAATCACTAATATAATTTTTGTTTCATTAAGTAAGTTTCTTGTCAAGTTTTGGTCTTGAAAGCTATAGAAATTTATTAACTTTTATCAAGATTCGGTTGCCAGTCTCAGTCGATCCAAAAATTGTTACTCGTATAAGTGAGCATGATGCAACCCTAAATAAGAGAAAAATGAGGAGAGTGGAAAATAAAATGGATGAGAGTTTTCATGACAGAGATAACACTACCAAAATACCCCTCAAATTTATTAACTTTTATCGAGATTCGGTTGCTAGTCTCAGTCGATCCAAAAAAATTTACTCGTATAAGTGTGCATGATGCAACCCTAAATAAGAGAAAATTGAGGAGAGTGGGAAATAAAATGGATGAGAGTTTTCATGACAGAGATAACACTACCAAAATACCCCTCAAATTTATTAACTTTTATCGAGATTCGGTTGCAAGTCTCAGTCGATCAAAAATTGTCACTCGTATAAGTGAGCATGATGCTGAAGAGAGTGGAAAATAAAATGGAAGAGAGTTTTCATGACAAAGATAACACTACCAAAATACCCCTCTTTAAGGAGAGAGAGAGAGAGAGTGGGAGCTACGACACACATACACGCAAGCATGTACACTGTTATTATGGTTTACTCGTGTAGATTATCTTTGCAGAACTTTGTTGATCAATTTAAAGGGTCATTGAGAATGATCAGTAAAGTTCTGAGAAAATTAAAAACGTTATCTATGAACAATAAGCCATATTATAACAATAATAATAATAAAAACGTTACTTATAAAGCGCTCACCACCGAAGTCTCTAAGCACCATACACACAAAATAGACTGATATACAATTACATGTTATACAAAACTAAAAATGCAAATAAACATACAAATTACAATACATATGGAATACACGTCAAAGTAAACAGAGTAAATTAATCATCGAACGCAATTTTGAATAAATGTGTCTTGAGACTAGTTTTGAATAGGTTAACGGTTTGACAGTTTTTTACATTTAAAGGTAATCTGTTCCAAATTTCAGCAGAAGCTTTGCGAAAGGAGCGATTACCATAAGAAAGAGTTGACACAGAAGTAGATACGAGGTTTAATTATTGTGAAGATGACCGTAAACTGCGTGAGGGTTTGTATTCCTCGATTAATTCTTGCAGAAACCGTGTGTTATAAACAGAAAGACAGTGAACGGAGAGTGGTAAGAAACTGTTAATCAGAGAGATCGCGTGAGAGAAAGGCATGAAGGGGTTAAGAGTTAGAAGAAAGAAGAGAGAGAGAGAATAATATACGGGAGAAACGAAAACAAAAGCTTTATTAGAAGAATGCATTAGAATAGAAATGGGGAGGGAAGGGCTCGTGTGCTGAACACAAGCTGCCGTTTCATATTACCGGTTGCATGAATACAGACCACCTATACATGTACTCTTCGGTACCCCCTCCCTCCCCCCCCCCCCCCCCCCCATGGCACCTCCACTCTTGAAATCGCATGGAAGTTCCCTCTCTTCGTATGTGTCTCCTTTAGAAGGCAGCGCAACATCTAGACGCCTCGACCTGTAGGAAGGAGACTGGAGATACATCCAGAGAATGGCCGCATAGCCATTGAGGCATTGCCCCATCTGAGGAAAAAGGGAAATGTATTTAGAAGGAGAATTTAGAGTAAAATCCCACGATTTTGTTTCCTTTGCAAGGTAGAAAACAACCCCGCCCCCCCCCCCTCCCCCGCCTCAGCCAGTGAATTGTCTGGCGTTGCGCCTTACTTTCGCCATTAATAATAATAATTATTATTATTTGGTACGCTCTCCATGGTACACTATCACAGCGTTTACAAGAAATATTCATACATAATAACATACAACTAAATTTCACCCCCCCCCCCTTAAGAAATCCATGATCTGCGCCTGAGTGCACCATCTATGCTGAAAGCCTTCTTAGGATCAAATGTTATGTAGAGTTGTTTGTCATCAGTGTAAGTGTGGTAATATGATGACGGGCGATGTCTCCAACCGGTAGAACGTAGATGGTGTAGCCAAATGGACGGAAAACAGATCCCTGCGGGAGGCCTACCGAACTCATGCTGGATTGAGATGACTTTCCATATTTTTTTGGTGGTCCAGTCTACAATGTGCGATTCAAAACTCGGGAGTGCAACGCCACCGACTCCTCTCCTACTTTACATACGAAATATCACGATTCATCGATCGATGGTATCAAATGCTGCCGATAGATCATATAGCAATGCTTCATGGCCTTTATCTAAAGCAAACATTATTTTTCACTACAGAATTTATTTCAATAAATGTATGAAGAAAATAAGAAGTAAAGATGAACGAACCTTTTATTATATTTATATTGAAGACCCGTTTGTCATGTCGAATTCAGAATTAGATCAACACAGAATGAATGCCTCAAAAAAGTAAATATAAAAATACAACTAACGCAATGATTGAAGATTGCACGTAAAGCAAATAAGATAGCCCTAAATATCATAGCATTAGTTTGTATTTTGAATATCAGCTGAATAAATTCAAGTCAATACGTTGACACAAAGAAAGGATGGAAGTATAAAGTCCGTTTCTATGTCATAAATCTGAGAAAGCACAATGGGGAAAATAGGGCGAAATATATTAAAGGTCGAATAGTCGACAAAACATTAGCCAAGCACAGGAATGGGGCGATCGCCTTTATAGTAACAACTGTTGTAAACTAATTAAAAACTCAATTTTAAGGCTAGGGAGAGTTTCAATTACATGATCGCAGGTGGCAAATTTATATACCATTTGATATACGATTTATCATCCTCACTAAAATCGTTATCCTAGATCGCACTTATGTTTCAAAATTGTTTGATATTTGGCTATATTAGCAACATGATTTTGCTTTGTGTTTGAATACCGAATCACAAAAAGGTACGTCTCCCAAACCCTTGTGACACTAGTAGCTCAGTGTCCTGTATGGTACTTATCCAGAAAAACCTGGGTCTAAGTGAAGGTTAATAATTTTAGAGATGATTTAGACCTGGGTCTGACTTCTGTAATTTAAAAATAACATTAAAACGAGATTAAACCCAGCATAAGTTTGTTTAAATTTAGTAGGAAAGGGGCGATTATTATCTGAATATTAAAATGTGATCTTGGATTATTGAACGTTCTCAAAGAGTGTAGAATGATATTTTGATGACAAATTATGATTAAATGACAAGGAAAAAAAATTGTCCAAGTTGATTTTCGCAAAAAAGAAATCAAGCCCCCCCCCCCCCCCCGACGAAATTGGGCATGAATACTTTAATTTGGCAACCTAACCCCCTAACCCATCTTCTCTCTCTCTCTCTCTCTCTCTCTCTCCTCCCTCTCTCTCTCTCTCTCTCTCTCTTTCTCTCTCTCTCTCTGTCTTTGAGAATAGTAAATATTATCATTCTATACATTTGCCGTGTTTAAAGGACCCACTTTTAAGCCTCTGTACACTATATTATGTGATAACAAGTTGCAACAGAGCTTTATTTTCTCTGAACAAAGGTCATTCAAATGCGTTTATATACCATATTATATTGGTTTGTTTCGTACATGTTATATGAGTCGTGCATCTGAGTTCAGTATGACGTGTGTAGTGATTGTTGGTCATTAGCTTAAATTAGGATAAGTAGCTGACTGTCACGTATAGGTAAGCATTATTTCTTTTTAAAACTTTGTTCGAAATTTCAAGACTCTTATTTTTACAATGGTCAATACGATTATCACTACCCCTTTCTTCTTTTTTGATATCGTAGACTCGTTGTAGTTAGGATTCGCAAGTTACAGAACCATTTCTTCGATTTATTTTATTTCATCTAGTCATTTACACTTTTATGGTGTAATTTGTTCTTTCCTCTTCTGTGTTTCTCTTCATTTTTCCTCTTTTTTCGGGGGGGGGGGGGGAGATTAGCCATCGACATGCTAAACTTGACTATACTTGATTCATATAGATATAACATTAACATTTAAGATTTGTATTAACGGTTTTACGACTTGTCATGTTGCAGTCATCCGTAGCTGTGTAACGGCGTAGGATTGTCCTCTCGTACGTGCTTTACTTACCCATATCCGGAGAGTTTGGCCAACCCAGTTCGAGTTGGTCACAATATGGCGACTGCTGCTTTGATGGGGAAGCACAAAACAAAAGAATATACGCCATGTTGTAACCCAGTAAAACCAATTTGGCCAAATAACTATGTGTGTAGATGGCTCTGCCCATATCTATCTATCAGACCCACGATGACGATTCAAAACGTACGGCTGCACACGAGGCGTTAATTTTGCTGACGTAATATTGCGTCAGCGACTGGTGTGGAATTTGACACGCCATGTAAGAGAAATATTGATAAAGAGTGAAGGCTAAATGAACCATTCAAATATTGCCTTGCCTTCGGCTTGACTTACTGGTGTGTGCCCGGGCTGTTTGATTTCATAGGCAGTAGGGGCACTGTGGTATCATAAAGGCTCTTAAATCTGATTCCGGCCAAGGGTTTGTCCTTTGCTTGGTGCTCACATCTTCTGACCTCTGACAAGGTATTTTGCCTAATATGCCCCTCGTGACCCACGTATATAAAAAAAGTTTATCTGGCAATGCTTGGGTAGTACTAATTATAGGGCCGCTGCCAGGAAGAGCAGTTATCAGACTGATGTGGCCACCCTATGTAAATAAGACCAATTATTGTTCACTATCACTAAAAATAATCACTTTTTAGCGGGGGTAATACTCAATTGATATGACGTATTATGTACAAAAAACAACGACACATAATCATTTTCATTCAGAAAAGAAATACAGTGATGTAATGTCGTTCTTTCTGACTCAGATCAATCGAAAGTGCGAGTCGTCAACCGGCAATCATGGAATCGAATCGGACGCTAATGCTGATCATTGGGCTTGTACTGGGTGCAGGGGCCATACTGGCAGCCGTCCTGTGCGGGGTACTTATCGACAACTCCGACGAGCCGGTCTACGTCCCCATCACCGGTGGCTACGTGGAGATCAGACACGGAGACGAGGTCGTTCTCAGCGGCCAGGTGGGAATGCAGCTGGATGGGTCCAGCGTGGAGTGCTCTAGCGAAGGAGAGGTACAGTTGCCTATTTCTCTTTAAAGATACCTTTGCTTATATGAATAGATTACCCGACTATCCAACAGTATGTTTCAATATCACTTTGATAATAAGCAATGATGATTATCGACAACTCTGGCGAGAGTACAAACTATCGTCGCAGAGGTAATCTCGGGGCTTCTATATATCTTCCCGCAGGGGCGTACGCAGGGGGGGGGGGGGGTATTTTTATGTGTGTAAACCCCCCTAAAAAAAACTAAACCCCCCCCCTTTGTTTTTTTTGTTTTTTTTTGTTTTTGTTTTGTTTTGTTTTTTTTTTGTTTTTTAAATTTAAAAAAAAAAAGAAAAAGATTATGCCCACGGCTAACATAAAGTGACCTTACCCCCCCCCCCCCCCCCAACGAAAAGAAATGTCAAATTTTCAAATTTCGAGACCAAAAAAAAAAAAAAAGGGTCCGCTTACCCCGAACTCAACTTTAAACTTTAAAGGGCAACTTTAATACTCAGTCTATTGCCTATAGAAATCATGTGCGCTCATACAAAAGGTCCTCAATTCGGCTATTTCTAAAACTCTCTGCTCTCGGTTTGTACACTCAAGAAATAAGAATCATTTATTGTTTTCATTAACAGAAGAAGTTTCTTGTAAGATTCTCTTGAAACTATTTCGCTCTTTTTACTCTTTTAACAGAATGTAATCCAATGCTTCGAGTGGGAGCAGAAAGCAAGGTTAGAAGTCAGACGAGAAGTAGAAGATGACATTACATGCCGACGCATGAGCTGGCAAGCGATGACGCCCGACATCGTCCTCTATGACTGCTACGAACTGGGTGATGACCAGTGGTTCGGCAGCGCCAATAGGTTCTATCAACATTGGCCAATCAACGAGTGGAACGAAGCAATGACCATGTATGTCTCTGGTGATATGTATGCCAATTACAACGACTATGGCTCCGTGCTCGAACGGTACTGGCTGTCGTCAAAGGGTGTGGCTATTCGAGCATCGCATAATTCGCCACTTCATGTGAGTTTGAACTACAACGATGACGGCCTCGTTTGTTTCAAAGGAGAATACAAATCATCTTACTACCCAACACCAGAAGATTCTTCAAGCGCTTTTCTGGATTACACAATCTGCACTGGTGAGAATACCAGAGTGATTCATGACTACATGACGGAAAGATTCGTAAAGAAACCTACTGGTTTGCCAGATACTCGTATGATGGGTTCTCCAATTTGGTCCACCTGGGCAAGGTTCAAGACAACTGTCAATCAGTCACTTGTTCTAAGCTTCGCAGATGAAATCATAGCTAACGACTTCAGCAACAGTCAGATAGAGATTGATGATGGGTATGCTGGAATAAATTACGGCGATTTCTTCTTTGACTCCGAAAAGTTCCCCGATGCCGTCCAGATGATCAAAGAGCTCCATGACAAAGATTTCAGAGTCACGCTTTGGGTAACACCTTTCGCCAATATACTAACTGATGCTTTCACTGAAGGTGATGAGAATGGGTACTGGGTGAAAAATGAAGATGGTTCTACAGCTTTGATAAGATGGTGGGCAGGAATACAGGCTGGAATGCTCGATGTCACGAATCCCAACGCCGTCACCTGGTTTGTCAACAGGCTTGAGGATGTCCGTACCCAGTATGGCATCGATTCCTTTAAGTTTGACGCAGGCGAAACCAACTATTTAGGATATCACAAGACTATGGAACAAATCGTCAACCCTTGCGAGTACACAACAGGCTGGGTAAAGCTTGCGGCTCAACTGGGATCACAGATTGAAGTTCGAGTAGGCTTTGAGACACAGGACCAACCAATCTTTGTAAGGATGATGGATAAAGACTCTCAATGGGGTTGGAACAACGGCCTGAAAACACTCATAACATCTGCCTTATCCTTCAGTGTTCTAGGATATCCATACGTCTTGGCGGATATGATAGGAGGCAACGTGTATGAAGGAGGCTTTCGAGAGACCTATCTCCCAGACAAGGAACTTTTCATTCGATGGCTCCAGATTACAGCATTCATGCCGTCTATGCAATATTCAATCGCACCATGGCAGTACGAAGATGACCCGGAAGTAGTCACTATATCTCGCAGATGGACTAGCTTCCATGAGAACGTTATTACACCGATACTGATTGATCTGGCAGAGACGGAAGCAATTCCTGAAGGAAAACCGATGATTCGACCTCTCTGGTGGATCGCACCAACGGATCGAGACGCTTTGATCAGTGATGACCAGTTCCTAGTAGGAGACGACATATTGGTAGCGCCCATCGTCAAAAATGGTACTCTTTCTCGCGATGTGTACCTACCACCTGGCCGATGGCAAAATGCCATCGACGGGGTGATGTATGAGGGAAGACAATGGCTATGGAATGTATCCGTACCTCTTTCAGAGGCTCTCTATTTTACCAGGGAAGGAACAGCCTTACCCATCCCTGCAGATCGTAATATCAAAATACAACATAATGAAGAGGTCGTACTAAAAGGCCAGATTGGGACTCTGCTTGGAAACTCAGCCATAGATTGTTCCGGCCAAGAAGAGGTAAGATTTTGTACTCTCCTAATTGCCTTTCCTCCATTTTATCCTCTACGTGCAAGAAGTGTTACTTTTTATTGATATCTTTTCCGGTTCTAGTTGCAAAAAGCTGTACTCTGTGGAACATCCTTTTAAGCAGCAAATCAATGAAGATTTTAATTTGAAATAGATAAATTTGTACGTGGGTCAATTATTATTCAATCATAAACTGTGTCAAAATTCTACTAAACGGGTTACTATTCTCATGAAATATTTCATCTTAAAGATCAATACTGTCCGACTATTCCTTAGCGAATAACAAGCCGACATGCATACTATAGCACATAATAGCAATATCAAGATTATTCTGAAATGAAAGATCGTTTGTCAATTAGTCCCCCAAAAATGAAAACATCAACTTTTGCTGTCCTTGTGTCTCAAATACTTTAAAAACATGTAAAACATGTAGATAGTCTCAAACATGTGTTATTTCATAAAAGTGCTTAACATGATTGGCTTCTATTTTGTTTTCTTGTATATTTTCTTCCTGCAGGATGATCAGTGTTACGAGTGGTCTTCCAAAGCCCGTTTACATATCCTGTCAGAAAGCGACGGCGACGTCAGGTGCCATCAGTTTGGTTGGCAAGCAATGACAAACGACGTTATTCTTCAGGACTGTTTCGAACTTGGCGATGACCAGTGGTTCGGCAGCGCCAATAGGTTCTTTCAACATTGGCCAATCAACGAGTGGAACGAAGCAATGACTATGTATGTCTCTGGTGATATGTATGCCAATTACAACGACTATGGCTCCGTGCTCGAACGCTACTGGCTGTCGTCGAAAGGCGTAGCTATACGAGCATCGCATGGTTCCCCCTTGCATGTTAGTCTCAACTACGACAACGACAACATGGTTTGCTTCAGAGGAGAGTTTGGATCATCATACTATCCCAATCCGAGCAACGGGTCGGCTTTTCTCAATTATACTATCTGCACTGGTGAGAATACCAGAGTGATTCATGACTACACGACGGAAAGATTCGGAAAGAAACCTACTGGTTTGCCAGATACTCGTATGATGCGTTCTCCAATTTGGTCTACCTGGGCAAGGTTCAAGACAACTGTCAATCAGTCACTTGTTCTAAGCTTCGCAGATGAAATCATAGCTAACGACTTCAGCAACAGTCAGATAGAGATTGATGATGGGTATGCTGGAAGAAATTACGGCGATTTCTTCTTTGACCCCGAAAAGTTCCCCAACCCCGTCCAGATGATCCAAGAGCTCCATGACAAAGATTTCAGAGTCACGCTTTGGGTAACACCTTTCGCCAATGTACTAACTGCTGCTTTCACTGAAGGTGATGAGAATGGGTACTGGGTGAAAAATGAAGATGGTTCTACAGCTTTGATAAGATGGTGGGCAGGACTACAGGCTGGAATGCTTGATGTCACGAATCCCAACGCGGTCACCTGGTTTGTCAACAGGCTTGAGGATGTCCGTACCCAGTATGGCATCGATTCCTTTAAGTTTGACGCAGGCGAAACCAACTATTTAGGATATCACAAGACTATGGAACAAATCGTCAACCCTTGCGAATACACAACAGGCTGGGTAAAGCTTGCGGCTCAACTGGGATCACAGATTGAAGTTCGAGTAGGCTTTGAGACACAGGACCAACCAATCTTTGTAAGGATGATGGACAAAGACTCTCAGTGGGGTTGGAACAACGGCCTAAAAACACTCATAACATCTGCCTTATCCTTCAGTGTTCTAGGATATCCATACGTCTTGGCGGATATGATAGGAGGCAACGTGTATGAAGGAGGCTTTCGAGAGACCTATCTCCCAGACAAGGAACTTTTCATCAGATGGCTCCAAATTACAGCATTCATGCCGTCTATGCAATATTCAATCGCACCATGGCAGTACGAAGATGACCCGGAAGTAGTCACTATATCTCGCAGATGGACTAGCTTCCATGAGAACGTTATTACACCGATACTGATTGATCTGGCAGAGACGGAAGCAATTCCTGAAGGAAAACCGATGATTCGACCTCTCTGGTGGATCGCACCAACGGATCGAGACGCTCTGATCAGTGATGACCAGTTCCTAGTAGGAGACGACATATTGGTAGCGCCCATCGTCGAAAATGGTACTCTTTCTCGCGATGTGTACCTACCACCTGGCCGATGGCAAAATGCCATCGACGGGGTGATGTATGAGGGAAGACAATGGCTATGGAATGTATCCGTACCTCTTTCAGAGGCTCTCTATTTTACCAGGGAAGGAACAGCCTTACCCATCCCTGCAGATCGTAATATCAAAATACAACATAATGAAGAGGTCGTACTAAAGGGCCAGATTGGGACTCTGCTCGGAAACTCAGCCATAGATTGTTCCGGCCAAGAAGAGGTAAGATTTTGTTCTCTCCTAATTGCCTTTCCTCCATTTTATCCTCTACGTGCAAGAAGTGTCACTTTTTATTGATATCTTTTCCGGTTCTATAGTTACAAAAAGCTGTACTCTGTGGAACATCCTTTTAAGCAGCAAATCAATGAAGATTTTAATTTGAAATAGATAAAATTGTACGTGGGTCAATTATTATGCAATCATAAACTGTGTCAAAATTCTACTAAACGGGTTACTATTCTCATGAAATATTTCATCTTGAAGATCAATACAGTCCGACTATTCCTTAGCGAATAACAAGCCGACATGCATACTATAGCACATAATAGCAATATCAAGATTATTCTGAAATGAAAGATCGTTTGTCAATTAGTCCCCCCAAATGATAACATTAATCTTTGCTGTCCTTGTGTCTCAAATACTTTAAAAACATGTAAAACATGTAATAGTCTCAAACATGTGTTATTTCATGAAAGTGCTTAACATGATTGGCTTCTATTTCGTTTTCTTGTATATTTTCTTCCTGCAGGATGATCAGTGTTACGAGTGGTCTTCCAAAGCCCGTTTACATATCCTGTCAGAAAGCGACGGCGACGTCAGGTGCCATCAGTTTGGTTGGCAAGCAATGACAAACGACGTTATTCTTCAGGACTGTTTCGAACTTGGCGATGACCAGTGGTTCGGCAGCGCCAATAGGTTCTTTCAACATTGGCCAATCAACGAGTGGAACGAAGCAATGACTATGTATGTCTCTGGTGATATGTATGCCAATTACAACGACTATGGCTCCGTGCTCGAACGCTACTGGCTGTCGTCGAAAGGCGTAGCTATACGAGCATCGCATGGTTCCCCCTTGCATGTTAGTCTCAACTACGACAACGACAACATGGTTTGCTTCAGAGGAGAGTTTGGATCATCCTACTATCCCAATCCGAGCAACAAATCGGCTTTTCTCAATTATACTATCTGCACTGGTGATGACACCAGAGTTGTGCACGATTACATGACAGATAGATTCGTGAAAAAACCGACGGATTTGCCTGATACCAGAATGATGCGTTCTCCAATTTGGTCCACCTGGGCCAGATTCAAGACAGCAGTCAACCAAACGCTTGTTTTAGGTTTCGCAGACGAGATCATCTCCAATGGATTTAACAACAGCCAGATAGAGATTGATGATGGGTATGCTGGAAGAAATTACGGCGATTTCTTCTTTGACTCCGAAAAGTTCCCCGATGCCGTCCAGATGATCAAAGAGCTCCATGACAAAGATTTCAGAGTCACGCTTTGGGTAACACCTTTCGCCAATATACTAACTGATGCTTTCACTGAAGGTGATGAGAATGGGTACTGGGTGAAAAATGAAGATGGTTCTACAGCTTTGATAAGATGGTGGGCAGGAATACAGGCTGGAATGCTCGATGTCACGAATCCCAACGCCGTCACCTGGTTTGTCAACAGGCTTGAGGATGTCCGTACCCAGTATGGCATCGATTCCTTTAAGTTTGACGCAGGCGAAACCAACTATTTAGGATATCACAAGACTATGGAACAAATCGTCAACCCTTGCGAGTACACAACAGGCTGGGTAAAGCTTGCGGCTCAACTGGGATCACAGATTGAAGTTCGAGTAGGCTTTGAGACACAGGACCAACCAATCTTTGTAAGGATGATGGATAAAGACTCTCAATGGGTTGGAACAACGGCCTGAAAACACTCATAACATCTGCCTTATCCTTCAGTGTTCTAGGATATCCATACGTCTTGGCGGATATGATAGGAGGCAACGTGTATGAAGGAGGCTTTCGAGAGACCTATCTCCCAGACAAGGAACTTTTCATTCGATGGCTCCAGATTACAGCATTCATGCCGTCTATGCAATATTCAATCGCACCATGGCAGTACGAAGATGACCCGGAAGTAGTCACTATATCTCGCAGATGGACTAGCTTCCATGAGAACGTTATTACACCGATACTGATTGATCTGGCAGAGACAGAAGCAATTCCTGAAGGAAAACCGATGATTCGACCTCTCTGGTGGATCGCACCAACGGATCGAGACGCTTTGATCAGTGATGACCAGTTCCTAGTAGGAGATGACATATTGGTAGCGCCCATCGTCGAAAATGGTACTCTTTCTCGCGATGTGTACCTACCACCTGGCCGATGGCAAAATGCCATCGACGGGGTGATGTATGAGGGAAGACAATGGCTATGGAATGTATCCGTACCTCTTTCAGAGGCTCTCTATTTTACCAGGGAAGGAACAGCCTTACCCATCCCTGCAGATCGTAATATCAAAATACAACATAATGAAGAGGTCGTACTAAAAGGCCAGATTGGGACTCTGCTTGGAAACTCAGCCATAGATTGTTCCGGCCAAGAAGAGGTAAGATTTTGTACTCTCCTAATTGCCTTTCCTCCATTTTATCCTCTACGTGCAAGAAGTGTTACTTTTTATTGATATCTTTTCCGGTTCTAGTTGCAAAAGCTGTACTCTGTGGAACATCCTTTTAAGCAGCAAATCAATGAAGATTTTAATTTGAAATAGATAAAATTGTACGTGGGTCAATTATTATGCAATCATAAACTGTGTCAAAATTCTACTAAACGGGTTACTATTCTCATGAAATATTTCATCTTGAAGATCAATACAGTCCGACTATTCCTTAGCGAATAACAAGCCGACATGCATACTATAGCACATAATAGCAATATCAAGATTATTCTGAAATGAAAGATCGTTTGTCAATTAGTCCCCCCAAATGATAACATTAATCTTTGCTGTCCTTGTGTCTCAAATACTTTAAAAACATGTAAAACATGTAGATAGTCTCAAACATGTGTTATTTCATGAAAGTGCTTAACATGATTGGCTTCTATTTCGTTTTCTTGTATATTTTCTTCCTGCAGGATGATCAGTGTTACGAGTGGTCTTCCAAAGCCCGTTTACATATCCTGTCAGAAAGCGACGGCGACGTCAGGTGCCATCAGTTTGGTTGGCAAGCAATGACAAACGACGTTATTCTTCAGGACTGTTTCGAACTTGGCGATGACCAGTGGTTCGGCAGCGCCAATAGGTTCTTTCAACATTGGCCAATCAACGAGTGGAACGAAGCAATGACTATGTATGTCTCTGGTGATATGTATGCCAATTACAACGACTATGGCTCCGTGCTCGAACGCTACTGGCTGTCGTCGAAAGGCGTAGCTATACGAGCATCGCATGGTTCCCCCTTGCATGTTAGTCTCAACTACGACAACGACAACATGGTTTGCTTCAGAGGAGAGTTTGGATCATCCTACTATCCCAATCCGAGCAACAAATCGGCTTTTCTCAATTATACTATCTGCACTGGTGATGACACCAGAGTTGTGCACGATTACATGACAGATAGATTCGTGAAAAAACCGACGGATTTGCCTGATACCAGAATGATGCGTTCTCCAATTTGGTCCACCTGGGCCAGATTCAAGACAGCAGTCAACCAAACGCTTGTTTTAGGTTTCGCAGACGAGATCATCTCCAATGGATTTAACAACAGCCAGATAGAGATTGATGATGGGTATGCTGGAAGAAATTACGGCGATTTCTTCTTTGACCCCGAAAAGTTCCCCGACCCCGTCCAGATGATCAAAGAGCTCCATGACAAAGATTTCAGAGTCACGCTTTGGGTAACACCTTTCGCCAATATACTAACTGCTGCTTTCACTGAAGGTGATGAGAATGGGTACTGGGTGAAAAATGAAGATGGTTCTACAGCTTTGATAAGATGGTGGGCAGGAATACAGGCTGGAATGCTCGATGTCACGAATCCCAACGCGGTCACCTGGTTTGTCAACAGGCTTGAGGATGTCCGTACCCTGTATGGCATCGATTCCTTTAAGTTTGACGCAGGCGAAACCAACTATTTAGGATATCACAAGACTATGGAACAAATCGTCAACCCTTGCGAATACACAACAGGCTGGGTAAAGCTTGCGGCTCAACTGGGATCACAGATTGAAGTTCGAGTAGGCTTTGAGACGCAGGACCTACCAATCTTTGTTAGGATGATGGACAAAGACTCTCAGTGGGGTTGGAACAACGGCCTGAAAACACTCATAACATCTGCCTTATCCTTCAGTGTTCTAGGATATCCATACGTCTTGGCGGATATGATAGGAGGCAACGTGTATGAAGGAGGCTTTCGAGAGACCTATCTCCCAGACAAGGAACTTTTCATCCGATGGCTCCAAATTACAGCATTCATGCCGTCTATGCAATATTCAATCGCACCATGGCAGTACGAAGATGACCCGGAAGTAGTCAATATATCTCGCAGATGGACTAGCTTCCATGAGAACGTTATTACACCGATACTGATTGATCTGGCAGAGACGGAAGCAATTCCTGAAGGAAAACCGATGATTCGACCTCTCTGGTGGATCGCACCAACGGATCGAGACGCTCTGATCAGTGATGACCAGTTCCTAGTAGGAGATGACATATTGGTAGCGCCCATCGTCGAAAATGGTACTCTTTCTCGCGATGTGTACCTTCCACCTGGTCAATGGCAAAATGCTATCGACCGGATGATTTATGATGGAGGACAATGGATACGGAATGTATCTGTACCTCTTTCAGAGGCTCTCTATTATACAAAAGTGTAATGGTGATAACATATAGCTTGCATACAGGAGATATTTGTGTCATTTGCAGCAATGGCATGTACCAAAGTCAATTCATAGACCCGGAGCTCGAAATAGTATACAAATATACACTGTCTTGAGAGGTTCTGGTTAATACTATGCGCAAGAGGTGACTCCAAAAGTACTATTTGCTGAGCCCCCGAAGCAAATGGTACTTTTGGAGTCACCGAGGCCCATAGCTTTATCCAGTACCTCGAAACAAGGCATAGTGTATTTGTTTTATATCCTGCATCAAAAGTTCGTCTTTAAAAAATAAAATTAACAAATTGAAAAATTTAAATTTGTATTTAATTTTGTATTAAAAATAATAATACCTTCTTACCCTGGAGCGCATACGTGTGTGATTTGCCTCAACTATCAGTTACCTCATAATGAACTGAATCATGACCAATGTCTAAAACCGCGAATTTTTTTTCTTCTAAACAACAATAGTGCCACCGTGCCACATGAAAACAAACAGGATATTTATAATATGTAGTGAAATAGGTGGTCTAAAACAATATTGCATGGCGGAATGAGACCATAATACGTTGCTACATTGGCGCATGGGGGCATGTGCCCCTTCCAGCAGTAAATCTTGTAGATATCATGATACCCATGCATAGTGTAAAAACATCATTTATTACACATTTTGCTGAATAAAATTCAATAGGATAATCTGATCAAGCGGAACATTGTTGTAAAAGGTGTAATTTTTGTTTTAATCGCTCAGAGATTCTGCTATTAAAATTATCAAGTAGCAAAATGTTGATTTCTCTCTTATTTGTATAGTAAAATTATAAACAACGTTCAAGGCATATACAAATTAGACAAAAGTAATATAGAGATATTATTCTGTTTCATAGGGCTAGGGTTAGGGTTACATTTGCCACTCTCCACCCATGTGTAACCCTAACCCTAAAGCCCTGCTCCTACCGTAATGCTAACCCTACCTCGGATCTAAAACGTATATAAGACAGCGCTTTATAGCGTATACGTAGACACAATACTTGATAGTTATGATTTTGCACTTCACGTTAGAGGCTGCCCTCAGTTGTAAACGGGATGAGCCATCTATATTCAGAGTTTGGCCAACTTGGTTTCACTGGGTCACAACATGGCGTATATTCTTTTATTATGTGCTTGCCCAACAAAGCAGTAGTCGCCATAGTGTCTCCAACTCGAATCGGGTTGGCCACACTCTGTGTATAGATGGCTCTGGCCTCTGGGGTTCTAAGATCTTTCGTGTCATTTTTATCATTAACGTTAACTTCATTTCTACTACAAATGCAAAGTTGTTATGATAAATTAAGCTGAATAAAATTCAGTATGATGACCTAATGAAGCTGATTATTGTTGTAAAAAGTGTAATACAAGTTCTAATCGTTAAGAGATTCTGCTATTAAAATCAATATGTACCGAAGTTTTGAATTCTTTTCAGTTTCTGTCCGAGTCATGTAGAGTATCTGTACAAATGCCTTTACATTAACAAGTGACATAAAGAATTGAAAATTTGAAGGTTTACACAGTCAAGTATTAATAAGGATAAAGTTATATTGGTATAGACCGACAATAGCATCAAAAGGACAATACAACTAAACTAGATGATTATAATACTGTTTCATAGAAATACTTTTTTTTTGCTACTCTCCACCATTAATACTACAAGCTTACAAAGTTACTAATAACATTATTATCATTACCAGCAGTGTTGTTATTATTATTACCATCATTAGTAGTTGTTGTAGTTACTGTAGTAGAAGTAGTAGAAGTAGTTGTAGTTGTACTACTGATAGTAGTAGTAGTAGTAGTAGTAGTATAATTATTATTATCATCGTCAGTGCCATTATTGATATAAGGGCCTATTATTGTTATTATTGTTTTTATTATTTTTGTAGTTGTTAACGTTTTCATTAGTGGTATGTTGTTCCTGTTTCCGTTGTTGTTATTGGTATTATCATTAGCCTATTATTATGACAATCACAATATTAATACTGAATTACTGATAGTATTGATAATGAAACAAATTACAGTCATTGTAATCCCAATGTCTACAAAGTGTTTAATAACATATTGGAGTTAATACGCACATAAAAAAATTATTATTGCACATAGAAGCGGCTAATATATAGGCCTATAAATAAAAACAGCACTTTGTGCGATTAAGCATTTTCTTCCTTCAGATTACAGCACAGTATTTTTAATCTCGTACCTATACTGAACGCGTCATTCAAGGTCCAACGTTCAGTTTGACACAAGATAACATATTGTTGGCAGTAGGCATATACATATTGAGATACCCAAACATTTAATATAAGTTATAACCCCTTGCATAAGGGGTTAACAATATAGCTTTATGCAGATTTGTAACCAGTTAGACTCTGGTACGTGTTCCCGTTAAGGTAAGATCTTTTTAAATGTTTTTTTCGCGAAGTCTTAACCCTGGGTGTTCAAGGACATTGATTCATATTTATTTAGTAAGTAATTAGAATCTGTTTGAATCTTCGTGTTAAAAGATAAACTGGAGTTCTGTAAAGTAGGCCTACAGAATCCATCGAAACTTACACTGAATTTGCATGATTACAAATAAATGACATATATATGCTAAGCAATTTTGGTAGAAAATGTATAGTGGCTGAGTAAGCATAGAAAGATTAGAAAATCCGGGTAAGTGGGCCCGACACGATGGGCTTAACAGTGTACGTATGTACAAATGGCAGTTATGGTTTTTATTAAAGATGACTTCCAGCAAGTGTTTTGTTAGGTTTGTTTTATTTTACTGGTTAAAACGATCAGTCTACTGCAGGAAAAACAATCCAGGATGAGTTAAAGCCATGTTCTCTCGACATACGATTCTCATACCAGAGCTCAAGATTAGCTTTAAGATTTTCATGTAGAGGCTTTTTTTTCCGCTTCGAATACACACAACTACATCATAAATAGGCAAACGGCACGAGGAGAAACTCTGTATCTGCACAATGTAGCTACGTTTCGGGATGCGCCCCCAACCACCCCTAAACTAAGGTGAAATATTTAAGCCATTTGTGATACATTAAAGGCATTTAGTGAAAGAAATTTTGACAGCTAAGTTAATTAATCTTCAGGTCATTTTATGTCTACTAGTGCCGAAGTTAAAGCTATAGGATGCCGCTAATAGTTTTCATAATAGTCCGGCAGCCATCTCGATATACCTTGCTTTAGGGTCTATAGTTTTTTTTCCTTCGGATTATAGTTCCTTAGACCATCAATTTGAAGAATTCGATTGCTGACACTCTGTCAGCATTGAGCAATTTGAGATATGTGACGTCATACAAAATGGCCGCCAAAATCCCCTTTTTAACCAAAATTAATGATATAAAAAGTTTTAACAGCATTTTACTACATTAAATGGCAGTCAAATATCTTGATTTTTTTCTAGAATCATCACTAAATAAAAATTACAATGCTGTATGATCACAAATGATATGCAAATTTGCATAATTAGGAATGGCGCCCTCTATAGACACATTTACTTGCATAGGTCAAAATGATGGCCAAATACCAATTTCTAACATGAGATTATCATATGTCATGAGTCAGATGCACTGAATACAGTGAGTAAAGATTGTGCTGCACATTTATTTTTATTTTGTAATTTGATACTCGAACAAAACACGGTTGAATTTTATGCTCTCTGTCCCATAGATATGAGGTGGCATATGGTGATAAATGCCCATTTTCAGTGACAGCGTTAAGAAACTAGATTTGTATTCTAAGGTACTAGATTCTTTTAAATTAACCTAAAATTTACGAACTACCACTACGATACAGGACTATATCCGTTTATAAGTTTGCTTCAAAATCTTGAAATTTGTTTAAAAGCTCTCTATAGTGTTGGGAACCCTAAAATATTCCATGTGGAAGAGGGTGTCATTTAACACTTAATTCTGCAAAGTAAGGTCGTGACTGTAATGCGTGCTTCCACACGCATGTTTGCAAATGAGTTCTCCTAACATTTTCTACAAACGCTTCAGTAGTTTGAGGTAGTGAGGCAAGGTTTGGGGGTGTTTGGAGCTCCTAGTCTTCGGACCCTTGATAGCCACACGTTGATACGAGCCTCTGACATTCAGTTGGTTGTTGACTGTCCATAACATGAAGCAAAGCATTGAGTAGGTTGAGTGATGACATATGACCATGCTGCATCAACATTGCCAACTCAGTCCTAAGGGAGTCGAATCTTCTGCTTCATCACTTTCAGCATTGTACCCTATCCAATGCCAAAGTATGCCCCAAGAGTGTCGCATCCCGTCAACGCATGTCCTGCCAACATCGATGGAATGATATCTCCTAACTTGTCTACATTGGCAGGAACATCAATAACAGTTCGATTTGTGAAGGGGCGTCTCCATGGTAATTGGCGTTTTATAAGTCCGTCATGTAGATAATGATGCAAAATAGTACGTAGACGTCTGTGTCATCCACTAGGACCCTAACATACATCTTCTCATTAGCATCAATTCCAATCGCTTGCTTTTCTTTGATGTTGCCTGCTTCATCATAACTATGTTGTGGACAGACCTTTCCTTGGCATGACATCACTGCCTGGAATCACTTCAACAAGAACCTCATCTTGACGGTAAAGGCCTGCTTGTGCTTTTGCCTATTTCTGAGCACCCAATCATCCTGCAGACTCGCGCATATAATTATGATGTAGATCAACTGTAGTTTGTTGTCATGAAAAGATAGTGAAGTTAGCAACACTAGAGACACGTTTCAACAACTTCTCTCCCTAGCTTTATTGATCTTTCCAAAGCTTTTGACTGCGTACAACATAAACGCCTATGGAAGATTATGAGCTAGATGGGCTTTCCAGCACATATAATTCAACTCATCCAGTCGCTCTACCAATACCAAGAAGCAACAGTAAGAGCAGAGAATGGCGACACCGAAAGGTTCACTATTGGTTAAGTGGTCCGTCAAGGCTGCAACCTATCACCATGAATTTTCAACATCTATGCTGAATTCATCATGAGAAAGGCATTTAATGGTCAAGTTTCTGTTGGTGGACGAACGATCACCAACCTAAGATACGCCGACAATACAACACTCTCTGGCGTATTAATGGGGAAGGGTATGGGGGGGGGGGGGGGTTGGGGACAGTTGAACCCCCAAACAAAATTCAAACTGTTTTTTTTTTATATATTCGATACCAGTTATTTACAAATGTTGCTGAAATGACATGATTTTCCTGGGTTTTTTCTCACTTTTTAGTAAATCCACAGTCAAGCAAAAAATATGCTTATTTAAAAGCCTACACGTCAGGGTCCGCAGAACAGCGGGGCTCAGGGGACTCGAGCCCCCCTCACTTTTTGTATAAAGTATGTTAAAGAGAACTAGAAAGAAAGAAAGTGACCCGAGGTGAAATGAAGTATCAAAATATGTTCATCTTACAGTTAATAAATGCCTGAAACCCTTGAGCTTCCGGGGGCTGTGCCCCTTGAACACCACGCCAATTTGCGCTCCTCTCTTCCTGATCGTAAATACTTCAACCCCCCCCCCACCCCGCTTTAAAAAAAAAGTTCCGCGGGGCCTGCATGTAACATGTATGAGTGGTGGTGATGCAGATTGTTTTTCTGCCCCTCTAAGTGTTTTTGCTCAGTATGCCACTGACAACACTTATAACAAGAACATCAGAAGAACTACTAGAACTCCATAAAAAAGAGTGAAGGATGCAAGTGAATAATTTGGACCCTACCTCAATGTGAAAAAGACCAAGATCATGATTGGTGGAAATTAACTACATGCAACAGAGCATGGTGGTTGATGGAGAAGAAGTTGATCAAGTGGACAAGTTTATATAATGTTCTTGGGTCAATGATTGTCAAGGAGGGTGGAAGCTCGGCAATCTGCCTTTGAAATGTGGTGTTGGAGGAAGCTACTTGGGATATCATGAAGAGATTACAACACCAATGTACACAATTAATGTCCATCATCGGAGATCAACCGCCACTTGCTACCAGGATTGACAAGTACAAGCTACAATAGTTTGGTCACGTTAGCAGAAGATCAGGAGACAACCTTGACAAATTATCATTCAAGGTACCTTTGAAGAAACACGTAACAAAGGAAGACTCAAGCTCAGATGGACTGACGACCTTAGGGAAATCACTAGCCACCCTCTAAATACTAAAGACACTCTACCGGATTGCAGGAGACAGATGCCGATCAAAAGGTCTCATCAAACGGGTCACAAGGGTGAGCCATGATCTATATGACAACGACGACGACGACGAACAGTAAGAGATAGTTTCTTGGAGGGCAGCAGTGACGCGGGACTCAGTTGGAAGACTCGAGACCCGTTATGACCTCTAAATACTCTCGGATCTGTCAAACACCAAGCAAACATCATCAGATTTTCATCCACAGCAGAGCACAACCATCAATTACTGTACAAGGTTGTTCCAGTGTCTCATGCCTGGCTGACATCTCAACTTTTGTCAAATTCTATAAGTCCGTCTTTGACATGGGAGTGCTCGTTTCCAGAATCATCAAAAAGTGCTGTTGGGACTGGTGAAAGCTCTTATGACAAAATGTCCTTGACATTGACCTCTCTTGAACTTGTCTGCAGTCCTATTACTCTGGAGTAGATCAACTTTTCATAGACTTTCGTACCCCAACATTGACTTCTTCATGTCTGCCACGGTTTGAACATTCTTGGAAATTGTGACATAGAATCCACCAGGTAATTTCTTTTGAAAATCATGCATCTGTCTAGTATAGATGTCAACTGCTTTATCCACATTCGCTGACGTTGGAGCAATGCTGGTCTAAATAAAGCCTATTAATTGAATAATAATGTGTGCCGTAAAACCACTTCTCACCGATTTGTTGAAAAATAAATTCTTTCATAGCCATATTTTTTCTTGACATATGTAGGGTAGGTGTAGGGAATTGGAGACCACCAAGCTTGAACCCATCACTGTCTGTCCGTGTTGGATCCAATATTGATATAGCGACATATGTGGCCTTCAACAACACAACTGCATATATCCAATTCATTTCGAAGACTACAGTGCGTTCTCCCTACGAGAAAATTGGCAAAATTGACCAAGATAAGCATTTTTGATCGTAAAATTTTGCTCTGATATAAAAACACAATTTTCACTGAATGTTGTGGTGTATGCAGATATTTAGGGGTGGCCCTTAAAAAAAAAAGTTTTAAAAGGAAGTTTATGAAATGTGCCAACCATCACAGAAAGTTTATGGCCACTGTGTGTTGTGAATGGGTGTTGCAATTCACATTATGAATGGTGTCTGATCAGAAATGTGTGTAGGTAATGGGGGACACCAGGTCCAAGATGGGGGCCTACTTCTCCCCAGTTGTTCATTTCATGTTGAAAGGCACTATCATGAAACATATTTGGTTGTACGTGTCACCATTCTAATTTGAATGCATTTAATTTTAAGAAGTTGTTTCTATGCTGTGAGTTTGATAAATGTAAAAGTCATATTGCCAGAACATTATTCTGAAAGTATTTTAACATATTTGAGAGCACCTTTATTACGGTAAACAAAAAACTACAGAAATATTTTGGGCCCCATTGTTTTAAAATCGTTTCAAAATTACAGTAAGTTCATTGGCTGCATGTATATCATTCAAAAAGTGTTTGAACTAACTATAACAATCCCATTTTCATTCAAATTGTATTTAAAATGTCTTGATTTGTAACTGTCCCTTATTACGTACACATGTAGGTAATGAGAGACCTTTGGTGATGACGTCATTAATCATTGTTATCTTATTAATCAGTTCAGGCGCGTACGCAGGATTTTTTCAAGGGGGGGGGGGGGGTTTAACATTTATAAATCGGGCCGAAAATTTCGCAACGACTCAGCCAGCCGCTGAATAAGCGGGGGGGGGGGAGGGGGGGGAGGGGGGGGGGGGGGGGGGGGGGGGGGGGGTAAGAGGACACATTTTTTTTTTTTTTTGGTCTCGAAATTTGAAAATTTGACTTTTTGCTCCGTTGGGGGGGGGGGGGGGGGTAAGGACAGCTTTTTTATGGCAACCATGGGTGACATATGTAGGGGGGGGGGGTTTAGAGAAAAATTTGGGGGGGTTTACACACAAAAAATTACCAAAGGGGGGGTTTAACCCCCCAAACACCCCCCCCCCCCCCCCCCCCCCCCCCCTGTGTACGCGCCTGAATCAGTTACATCATCACCACAATTTCGTTACCAAATAAAGAGAAAAAATACTAAAGAGAATACAAAAAATGTCTGTTTGTGTAACATTGTTCATGTTTATGTAAATTATGCAAATGTGCTTAAGGGTCTTCCATTCCCCACACCTACCCTATCTAAATTTGTACCAAACACGATGAAAGATTAATGCAGCACAACTGCAATTGTTTCCCCCAAAAAGCATTTAATATGATTTCAACGTGACATAGATTTAAGAAATTGGCATTTGGCTGGCACACATATTTTATTCAAATTAATATGTTTATAGAGGGCGCTATTTCAAAATATGCAAATAAGCTGGTCATCTCTGGCCATGCAACACCACGAAACATATTTTTAGTGATGGTCCTAGAGAGATACAGACATTTGGCTGCCAAAAATTGAAGAAAAAATCCTTATTATATATTTATTATTCATTTTTAAAGGAAAATCATGTACTTTGGCGGCCATTTTGTATGACGTCATATATCGTAAATTGCTCAAGGCTGACAGAGTGTCAGCAATCGGATTCTTGAAATAGAAGGTCTAAGCAATCAAAATCCATTGAAAAAAAAACTATAGACCATAAAACAAGGTTAGGCCAATAATCTGGATTTGGCTGCCGGACTATAACGGGGTGCTCATCGGGCATCGGGTTGACTACGGCTGTCACGCTGGCCGAAGATCCCACCCATCGGTTCTTGGTCTATGCCACTATACTCAAGCCCTTCGCAGACGAAACAGTGCTGCAACAAGCTGCAGATGGGAAGCAGATCCTGGACCAGACGTTGTTCCCGGTCCAGATGGATGTCACCAAGGATGAGTCCGTCAAGGATGCAGTTGCCATGGTGATAATGAAACAAGGACGAATTGATATTCTTGGTAAATATAAACAATAATATATATTTATTGAATATTTCTATAACACCCATTTCAAGGCACTCTTATAGTGACTCGAGCTGCATGTAGCTAGTTTACCAAGTTAGGTTTTCACAAGAGTCAAGGAATTCGTTCCTACCAGATACCAAGTTAGAGTCTGGATGGAGAGAGGCTAATGGAAGTTATTGTCTTTCCAAAGGATGGTAGTGCCGCGGCGGGATCCGAACCCCCGATCTCTTTATCCCGAGTCATGTTTTTGAACTATTCGACTACGACACTTCCTAATACAATGATATCATATCAAGAAACAGATCGGTGCCTGTAAACTTTGGTGACAATAGACAATCAGTTGACAAAAGGATTTGGTGGACCCAAAGTAACATAGGTCTACTCAATGGATTTGTAGTTTTATATCCTTCAGTTTCATAAAAGGAAACATTGAATTTTGATGACTAAGACCTTCTTTCCCCCCTTATTCGTTAGTGAACAATGCAGGGGTGGCCATGGTAAACGTTTCAGAAACGGCCACGGTGGAACAAGTCAAGAGGGTATTCGATATCAACTTCTTCGGTAACTTCCGGGTCACTCGAGAAATACTTCCGGTGATGAAGAAACAGAGGTCCGGTCGCATAATCAACATATCAAGCAACAATGGAATCTCTTGTAAGATGTGAATTTATCCTATTCTTCTACCAGTGTGGGAACCAAGGGGCACTATCCCCTCCCCGACCCACTGGCAAAAAGCCTTATCTGGCATATAGGCCTATACACAATTATGATGTAGTAAAAAATATAAGTTCCCCTAAAATAAAGCACTTCTGCTCATTACCATGCCGAAGACTCTTCGGATTTACAACCAGAATACTTTTCTGTAGATGGTGAGTCTCAGCCTTTGTCTCCCCCCCCCCCCCCCCAAAACGAAAAAGTTTGTAAGAGCAGAAATTTCCAAGTCAAGGCAATGATTGTGCCCCATCCTATAAAGAACCTTTCTTTTTCATTTTTCTTCATTTTCTTTCAATTTTATAGTGCTTTTCAGATAATTTTGAAGTAAAAACGAACCTAGAAAATCTGAGTTACTTTACACCCTGCTAAATGATATACAGCGCGGTACGTCCTTTTCTTTTAATATTTTGTTTATTTATTGTGTGCTTTGTTGAAGGCAGTTTTCCCTCGAAGAAAATTACCCCTTACAAGAAGGTATCAATTGAGATGATTTGTGAAACCTTTCTTTCTTTTAACAAATCAATTATTAATTATTAAACTTATTAATACATTTTTATTTTGTGTATGTTTTTTATTTTCTTAGATAAAGCAGTATTTACCAATAGCAACATTATGATGTCATGATCATGTTTTTTTTTCTCTCTTAAGTTGTATTGGTTCTTAGCTCGTTCAATTTGGTCCCGATATTATATGTACAATTCGAAGAGTGTGTGTTTGTGAGAGAGAGAGAGAGAGAGAGAGAGAGAGAGAGAGAGAGAGAGAAGAGAGAGAGAGAGAGAGTGTGTGTGTGTGTGTTCTCACAATCTGAGACATTATCTATTGCACATCTTTTGTTTTTATCAGCTTTCAAAAGGGAGGAAGTGCAGTTTATAGATTCTCTTTCTTTTTATACATGCATAAAGGCTTCCCCTATATGGGAGTGTATGGAGCATCCAAGCAGGCTATCGAAGCTTTCAGCCAAGAAACAGCTATTATTGGCCGCTTCTTCAACATATGGTAGGTCCTTAATTACTGGATCGAAGAAAATATATATAGTTAAAGAGCAAGTTGAATTCTGTGATTGCATTGTGAAAGAAAAGGTTTGGAGTGGATCAGAAAAGGTTGATCATGTAGCATGTATGTACTGGTGAGTACTGCAAGGTTCTGGAGTCATCAAAATCATAATAAATTTGGCCCAGTCTTCGTAAAGTAACAAGCACTGTACACAGAAAGATGTGTATGGGACTACACAAATGGTGTCGGGGGGGGGGCTACCAACTTTGATTTCCTTATATCTTTCTTTGCTCATTACTCAGCCAGTATACATTTTCTACCCAAATAAAATGACATTTATTTGTAATTTTGAACATTCAGTGTAAGTTTCGTTTGATTCTGTGAGAATTCATTTTCTTCTTTTTTACCAGAACTCAAGTTTATATTTAATAACTACATTATTCGTACCCCTTGTAAAGTTTATCTTTTGTGTGTTTTTTCGTAACTCAAGAATGAAGGGTTGAGTGGTGGAATTAGTGCATTTGTTAAATACTTTAGATGCGAGCTTCCACATTCACATTCTTTTTTTTTAATCGGGACAAATACATTTTTTTCATACTTAAACAAATTACAGAACTTGATAAGAGTATGAATAATATAACTGTATTAACAGTTAATCCAACCTTATTAGGCAACAAAGCTCAAAGAAATCAGAAAAAAATCAGCAGACATGTTTGACTGAAATCGGACAATATTATTATAACAACAAATTGATTATGAATTTTTGAAAGTTGAAGTCACTGTTTGTATGGGCTCTTCAAATTGGCGGAATTGGTCGTGAACACGATCAGAACTACTTTCGAAAAATCAACTCAAGGGCAATTTCAATACCCTATTTCTGTGTTTATCCCACAAGTGTGCAAGGCAATAATCGATGAATTATCTGACGAAGTTCTCATGCGCCCAGATACTCCAGAGGGATGGAAACAAGTGGCCTCGACCACAACCCTTGCCCTTCTTTCCTGGCATTTTTGCAGTAATTAAAGCAGAAATAATTAAATCCTGCAGATATAGTTCAGCAGCGACAAAAGAGTCCAGCGGGACGAATAAAATAATATTTTAGCACTGCGGGAATAGTAATGAAAAGTCCAGCAGGGCTCAAGCAGTCATTGTGGCTACAGGCTGCGCGCAGGTTGGATCTAGGACGTCTTTATACGTTTTAATGCTTCGTCGGACTGGCGTAAGGGTAGCGTATTGTTGCGTAGGCTTGGCGTACAGTTGCGTAAATTCATAAATTCCGTAGATACCATGTTCGGATTGCGTAATACCTCATATTAATATTCACGCCTTTCGATAGTCGATAGGTAGCACACAAGACTATTGAAATTGCCTTCGGTTGATTTTTAAAAAGTAGTTGCTATCGTGTGAATGTCAGACAACTTTCCCATTTGTTTCAACGGTGTCACACAAAATGACTAAAATGTAAAATGTAAGGGTCAGCCGGGTGTTTCTTTTCTGAGGACCAACAATAATTTGCTTTCATTAATATATATTTTGAGCAGTGGCCCAAATGAGAAAGCTCTTATATAGGAGAAAAAACAGAAATATACGATATTTTTGTACATGACAACTCTGTTATGTTTCTATTTTCATACGAATGAACTCAAAGGCTAGGTTTAATCTTGTGAAGTATGGTGTGGTATAATAATGTTCCCTTTGGGTTATTACAAAGTCTTTATCTTTCCATCCCCCTTTTTTCTTCTACCAGGGTAAGTGTGATCGAACCTGGTCCTGTTGACACACCCATTCGTGAGGCGATAGTATCCTTAGGTTTGGGCGGCGTGGGTCATATTCAGCAGAATCCCGACGTCGATGACCTCGATAAGCGTCTGGCCAGATACTTTGAAGTCGAGAGCGAGTTCCACGGCCAACCGATGCAACAACCTGAAGAAATCGCTCAGATCGTACTCGAAGCGGCCACCGCGGTGAAACCCCATTTTAGATATCAAACATCCCAGGTAAGACATGGGCCCCGTCTTATAAAGGGTTGCGACTGATCGCAACTCTGTACATAAGAGAGACTGTTAACTTGTGGTTGATTGGAGGACTTGCGATTGATTCGGATCAATCAAAACTCTAGCATAAATTATAAGGCGGGGCCCAGATGATTAAAGTTTGTTTGTAATTTGTTTGTTTTTTCCTTTATTTATTTTTGTTTTTTGTTTATATGATTTTGTATCTTTTTAATAGATTATGGATATACTGGAACAAATCGAATAATGTTCTTGGGCATCCTGATGTTCCCAAAATAAACTATACGTTTCGGGGATTCAACGTCCTTTTTTTAATCTGTAAATTGTCGTGTTGTTGAAATGAATTACAATTTCATTTCAATCTTTGCCTTTCATGAAAATGATCGCCTTTAAAAGGAAAGATGACACCTTTATAAGAAAAGATGTTTTGCCACTAAATAATCCACTCTGCTTTCCTCCAACCAAAGCCATTGAAAATGAATTCAACTCGTGTTCCCTCGTGTTATGCACTGGCTCCATTGCAAAAAAGATAATGAAAAAGTCGGAGTTTAGTTAGTTAAAAATCTTTTAAGAAGGAAAAAACATAATGCATATCAAATTAATATTGGAAAATTGTATTCGCAATGACCAAAAACTACCTTGGTTTAACTATAATGCCTGAATGTCATTTCGAATGTATTTCTAGAAAATAAGTCATGTTTCTTTTCTTTCATTTCATAGGCCGTGGAAGATTTTGCGAAACAGATATTCGTTGACTCAACAGGAGATTCATATATCGATTCCCAAGCAAATCGACTGAAGCCATTCGCCGACAAAAATTAACAAGATGTACTGAATTACTAGTCGATAAGTTGGGTGCGTGTGGGTGTGGGTGTGTATATGAATAAATTTGAGCAGGTAAGCTTGCTGTGTGTTTGGTGTTTGTGTGTCGGAGGGAGGGGTGTGGGTGTGTGGGGATGTTCTTCCGTGTGAGTGTAGGTTAATGTGATCTGTACACGTATTGAAGTTTGAAGTTTATTTTCCTAACAAAAAGTGTATACATCAATATAACAAATATGAATTTTTAACAATGAAAGGATAAATGGCACGTGTGTGGATCAGAGAGATTCAGATGGAAGTGGGTGTTTTTTTAGGGTTGGGTAGTAAGGGAGGGGGTTATCATTTTTTAAAATGTTTTTACTGATTTCATTCAATTTGCTGTTGATCGTAATTAATGAATGATATTGTACATCTTAAGTTAATTGAATTATGTTGTTATGATGAAAAATAATAGTATTTTTAATAATTATTTGTATCGGTTTCCGAAAAAATGTCTGACGGTGTTTTCTTTCATTATGTTTTCTTTAATTTTATGTTATACTGTTCAGATTCTTGATTATTTGTATACCGTCAGTGTCCCTGTGTTTCCATTCATCGTTATGGAATGGATTTGAGTGTTTTAATCTTTTTATGTATGGAATTGTTTAATGAGATATAAAAACAAAACTGTATTAAGAACAAACAAAAATATACGAAGGTTTGTTTTTTGGGGGGAGGGGTTTTGAGGTATTTTACGTTATATTGTTCCCATCCTGTCATTATTTGTCATATTATTTTAAATGTATGAACTTGTTTTTGTATAATCTATAAAATGTACATGATTTTTTTTTTTAATGGAAACATTACAAATGATATTCAAAACAAAATGTGTGTGCGTGATAAAGAGAGAGAAAGAGAGAGGGGCCCGGGAGAGGCCCGAGAGAGAGAGAGAGAGAGAGAGAGAGAGAGAGAGGTGAGAGACATAGAGAGAGAGAGAGACAGAGAGTGAGTGAAAAGGGGTAGGCCTATACATTGTTACTCATAAAAAGCATCTTTTAAAAAATCATTGCATCAATATTGTAACTCCTATACAAATCGAACTGCTGTCAATATTTCCAAAAACAAATTCATATTAAAGTTTGTTTACTCGAATAATACCTTGTTGCAATTGTCTTTCATTAGAATTTTAATCACAACGAGAGAATTGAATATCATTATGAATGATAATGAATATATGCTTGTCTCATTACATTCTTACAACCCATTAATTTTCATATTTCACTGGTTGTCCTTTCCAAATATTATTTTTCGGCTTTACTTTATATAATAAAAAAAATATCCAACCAAACCAGGTTATTTTATGGCTTCCTATCACACTCGCTTACGCTAGCATCCCTTCAAATTAATTCCGTTTGCCAAAATCTAAGTCTGTTCAAAGATATGAGAGTACAATAAAAGATACACATAGACATATCAAGATGTACATGTAATATGGAATGAAATAATAATACATAATAAATACTTCGCTTATAGCTTGCAATTGAGAAACAGGATTAAAATTAAAGAGAAGAGCGGGTAACTTTCGTCTTTCAGGAAAATATTGGATTTTAAGAACTTAAGCGAGAGGGGGCGCTAGACGGATCAAGAAAAGAGTTTGCATTTATTTTCGACACACCCCTTATACCTGTGATGGCCCTGTACACCAAATCTAGCTAGCTGCATCACGGGTCATCGGAGGCGCGCTGGCCTGGATGCATGAATGATATTGGGCCTCGATCACTTGCGCTAGCTAGAGGAGCGGCACGTGTAACCCATACACACAGACACGACGTCGGACAGCAGACAGACATCATTCATACATATCTACTAGCTTCTGACAAACTTTTCTGCCATGGCTTTAGCAAATCTCAAGATAGGCTTCATCGGGGCTGGATCGATGGCGCAGGGAATGATTGATGGATGGATTCGTGCCAGTGAGTATTCGGTATTCTAGTTCATCAGATTTCTCAAAAAACAAACGAAAATGGGTCTCTGGCTCCGGGTCTGCCCCTGTGCAGTGCATGTGCACAGTGTGCAGAGCCCGCAGGTCGCATAGGAAAACGATTCAAACAGTGGGTGGGTTGGGTCACATTTTTTCCGAAATGAAAAGAGGTGGTAGTCTAGTCTAATGACAATTTTGACTTAGATCTAGGTCTACAATGTTTTTTTGACTCTTCTGAAGTTCTCGGCATCCGTCCAACCACTTGAAATAATAATTTGAAGAAGTCTTTTAAATGAATGATGGGGGGAAATAAAAGTAGGGAGGCCAATGCCCAAATCTAACTTTTTAATTACTAATTTGTTTATACTAAAACTAAGATTAAAAGAAAGCATTTACTTTCACTAAGAAAATCCACCCATCTGCCGACTCCAGAAGTTCCATCAAATAGGAGATATCCAGCTAGTTCCTATGAGCTTCCTTCTACGCCTTTCCGTACGTAAGAGCCTTGAAACAATTATATTTCATGTCGCAGAGTTACGTTCATAATTAGACAGGCCCGAGGGACAAAGTTCATGATGAAGTTTAAAACTTCGCGCGAAAGTGCAATCACTCAACAGCGGCTAGCCTTGAATCGGTCGCACACGTACCTTCTTCTTCTTAGTTGATCCCTCCACCGACACAGGCAAGCCCCGATGCAGGCTGAAGTCCAGCCATCAATGTCCCGATCAATGTGCGAACGATTACATCTTCTACTACTACGAGCCGAAGACGATGGTTCAAAAATGATGAATAGATTTCAAAATTGGCAGGAAAGAAATATTTATAATTCATTGATATTTACCTTAGATGTGTATTCCAATAATTTGATTTCCTCATGAGTATTCCTTATTATCAACGATCGAGAAGTTACGAGGTCCAATTAACATCCATCTTGCAGCGAACACAATCATAGCGCACATCCATGCATGCAACGTACGTGTACTAATATTTCTCTCACTCTCTCTCTCTCTCTCTCTCCCTTTCGCTATACGTAACATACACACTCACTAACCATGTATCATACAACACACACCTTCAAATCATGGCTTTCATTTCAATTCTCAATTGGAGTATAGACTGCTCACGTAGACTTTTTTTTTTACTGAAATATCTTTTTTAAACACTTCTCATACATTACTGCACGACACTCGTATCTAGTGCTGTGAAAATAAGGTACTAGGGTCTATAAATAAGACTACGCTTTGCGCACGATCTGACCGGAGCTCAGATTATGTCGCAATACCCTTTATTTTTGGCGCGAACAATGACGTCACTGTTCACTGTTTTCCTTCTCATTTTGAGATGGATGTACCTATAGGGCTCAAAACAACGCAAGATTGACAGAAACATCGTACTCTATCTACTTTCGAATGTTCAGTTTGTAAAAATCTGTATTTAAAAAGATATAATCTTTTTTCTTTATATTTTCTAGTTGTTAGAAGTGGCAATTGTGAACATCTGAAATGTTGATCTCTATCAAAAGTTCTTTACTCAAAACGGATCCCATATTTTTAGGGTCTACCTTCTGCCAATGAGAAGGTTTTTAGTGAGCAAACCTCTACGCCCTCTAGGATTTTCTTAGTCGGTGGTGCGAGTGCGTCAAGGTCGTCTGCAACCACAATTATTGGATTAAAAAACGTCAAAATCTGCAAGATCGTCAACAAATGGTGAAAGACTGTTACAGATCCGTGATTATAGGTATGTTGTGAAATGTATAATTGTATTTTTATGCCTCCGCCACCGAAGGTGGTGCCGGAGGCATCATGTTTTCGGGTTGTCCGTCCGTACGTCCGTACGTCCGTCCGTACGTCCGTACGTCCGTCCGTACGTCCGTCCGTCCGTCCCGTTTGACCGTTATCACAATATCTCAAGAACCATTTTAGATTTAAACTTAAGACTCGGGAATAGTATTTATCACCATAAGAAGACGATCTGATTAGATTTTGGAGTACGTAGGTCAAAGGTCACAGGTCACAGAGGTCAACTTATGAAATTCCTTGTATTGAGTTTGTTAGCGCGATATCTCAAGAACCATTTGAGATTTAAACTTCAAACTTAAAGATAGTATGTATCACCATAGGAAGACGATCTGATTAGATTTTGGAGCACGTATGTCAAAGGTCAAGGGTCACAGAGGTCAACTTATGAAATTCCATACATTGAGATTGTTATCATGATATCTCAAGAACCACTGGAGATTTAAACTTCAAACTTAGTGATAGTGTGTATCACTATAGGAAAACAATCTGATTACATTTTGGAGCACGTAGGTCAAAGGTCAAGGGTCATAGAGGTCAACTTATGAAATTCCATACATTGAGATTGTTATCATGATATCTCAAGAACCACTGGAGATGTAAAAACTTCAAACTTAAGGATAGTATGTATCACCATAGGAAGACGATCTGATTAGATTTTGGAGCACGTAGGTCAAAGGTCAAGGGTCACAGAGGTCAACTTATGAAATTCCATACATTGAGATTGTTATCATAATATCTCAAGAACCACTGGAGATTTAAACTTCAAACTTAATGATAGTGTGTATCACCATAGGAAGACAATCTGATTAGATTTTGGAGCACGTAGGTCAAAGGTCAAAGGCCACAGCGCACATTATGAATGCAAAAACAGCTTGTGATCGCGTTATCTCAAGAACCGATTGATGGATTCATGCCAAAATTAGGTCATGTTTGTTACTTGCAGAGCCAATGAACTGAGTAGATTCTTGGTTCATAAGGTCAAAGGTCAAAGGTCATGGGCCCATTATGTATGCAAAAATAGCTTGTGAAGGCATTCTCATTAGAACTGACAGATGGATTACTATTTAACTCAGAACATCTTGCAGAGCCAATGAACTGAGTAGATTTTATGGTCATGAGGTCAAAGATCAAAGGGTCATATATGTATATGAGAAATTGCTTGTAATCACAATATTCTGAGAACCTGTCAATGGATTACCATTGAACGTGAATTCAATTTTTTTTTTCTGTTTTGGTTTGTAAAATTGCTCTATAACGGAGGCATCATTTTCGACTGCGCGCAGTCGAATTCCATCTAGTCTTTTCTTATTTTCTTCAATTTTTATTTTTACATCATTTTTTTCCCTTTGCTAATTTTTTGAAGTGGGCGACGAGCGCACAAATCGTAGGTGTAGAAGCCTTACGCCCGGGCATTGGCCTCCCTAATAAAAGGTGATTCTTCGTCCGTCCTAACCCAATCATCGATCATTCCAATTCCATGTTGTATCGCTGATTTAACATGACGAAGAGGAAGTATCCGCGGTTGCGGTGCAGCAAATATTCTATAGAGAGCACCGTTCGCTCAAATATTTGCTGCGCCCCTACCGCGCATTTGCTAATGCGTGTTTTCGCGTGTTTTTTTTATTTTTGAAGTTTTAAAAAAGGATGAAATTACACAAGTTTGTGTTCGCTTGTTCTACTCTTTACACAATTAACAATGGATGAGAAATCGTTGAGAGGGACAGCGAACAGTTGCTGTGATATCATTTTGTGATGTAGGAATTCTAAGTCCTGAAATTTCATGCGCTCTTTTATCTCACCACCTGGTCAACAGTTGCAGATTAGTGCATTACTTTTCTACGGCTTGGAGCATGGGGTCAAAGGAGAGCGGCTTGATTCCAGTCTTTCTCTCAGCCTTTTCACACACAGCTAAAATGCATCGTATCTAGAGATAGATAGATCTAGAGATAGTATCTAGTATAAACGTGTATAACTCAACAGTTTTAAAACACCTTTAAAGAAAATTTTCCCTGTGTGAACATCGTTTATACGATGTTCGGAAAGTCGCGATTCATACGCCCCTAAAAGCAGGCTGCAGATACGAAGTTCGTATCTAGAGAGCTTGACATTTTGTGTGTGAAAGGTTATTTGTGTTTAAACGTGTTTCAGACATGTTTAAACTGGATGGAGCGTGCGCTTTGATTGATATGACATGACCTTCAATGCGCAATGGCACTACTGCGAATTTGACGAGCAGTAGTTAATCACAAAACGATTAACGAATTTTAGCTGTGTGTGAAAAGGCTGTCTATCACGTCCCTGGTTTACTTTGGGCGCGTTCATGCTTGATTTTGAAGGCAGAATGAGCGATTTGTAACGCTCATCGTAAACGCTCATCGTAATCGCAGTTCCACGGTGCACTGTTCATGCTCACTTCTCCAGGCAATTCTCCTTGGGTGGCCTTCAGCTGGATTCGCAAACCTGTGTGCGCATGCTACGTAGACCCACTAGAGGTCAGTGCGTTGACCCCATTTAAACGCGTTTACAAATTGTAAACGCATCTTTTTGTGAGTTTACGATCGGCGATCGTGATCACCGTTTTTCGGTGATTCTACAAAAGTGAGCATGAACGCAATCGTGTTTTAAACTAAACGCGTAACAGATGCCTGATTCTGGCCGTCAAAATCAAGCATGAACGCGCCCTTTAGCTTTCCTCTCTGTTATGCCTCAGCGCACTCCTGACCTACATTCATTCTCTCATGTCTGTATACATGCTAGCTCTTGGCTTCTATTGTTCTGTCCCTATTCATTCATCCTCATGCACATTACCTGTCATAGCACCACACACACACACTCTCTTCCTATCTCATAGCTATTCAACCCAGCACACTATAGGCACATGGCAATCTATCTTTCACAAGCTTTTCTATTGGTTACCTACTTCTTGTCCAATCTTGTGATTGGCTATTATTTTTTCATGGATTGCAGGTCAGCCATCTTGGCAGCCATTTTATAGATGTATTAAAATATAGCAGTGCAGCTCAAGTCATCAAACGTGTAAGACCAGTTTTGTCTTGTGTGGGTCCTTACAACATGTTGAATCAATGATACAACATGGATGAATCGAGTTAGGACAAGGAATCACCTGTCTTCCCATCAAAAACTTCTTTAAATTATAATGTCAAGTGGTTGGACAGATGCCCAGAGGAGTCGAAAAACATTGTAAGTCAAAATTGTAATTTGTACCTCTTTACATTAAAAAAAAATGAGATCCGACCAGCTGTTTTCCTATCGTTTTCCTATGCAGTCTCTGCGTGTGTGCTATTTTACACTACACTCCAAAGCTGGGGTACAATATTTGTCAGGTGTGGGAAGGGGTGATAAGGAACACACTTGAGGTTTTGTTTACCTGCCTCTTCATGCAGGGGTATGGGTGCCAATTAAGGCTAGGTGATATCATAATCATATTACATATTGTCACCTAGCCCTTCAGAATAACCCCCCCCCCCCCCCCCCCGATCATACTGTAACAGTTATATTTTGTAGCATTCACTATGAATATGACAGACAAAGAAAGCGGACAAAATATACAGTTCCTCAGGTAGACAAAGGAACATCCCTTCACTGCTATTATGTAAAAAGGTGAAAATGCATGTGACACCTGTTCTACACATTTTTAGCAGTGAAGGGATGTTCCTTTGTCTACCTGAGGAACTGTATATTTTGTCCGCTTTCTTTGTCAGTCATATTCATAGTGATTTACAATTTGCTTTCCAGTTGATGGTTTTACATTTTGCTTTCCATACTCAATGATTTGCATCTCATTTACATTTCAGCTCATGACCTCTATTCCCGTCTCCACCTTCACACATCGCTCTCATTGACATTGCCACACCTTGTTTCTTCCATTCCACTTCCAACCACCTCAGTCACATACCAACATTTCCATTCCATTTCCAGTTCACATGGTTCTATTGTTTAGTCCTCATTAATATTCAGAACACCTCATGATCACCCTTCCATACTGTGTATTGGTTCTTCCCTAATCTAGTTGTATATTTCCGATTGGTTCTCTATTTAGGATGTCACTCATTGACATTGCCACAGCTTGTTTCTTCAATAGACCATTTTCGTAATGTAACCAAATTAAATGCACAAGTCTTTGTGAAGTGCCTCAATACAAATTATTTCATTCACCTGATAATAGTAATTCAATAGTCGGAATGCAAACTGCATACATCGAGTGTTGCTAGGTAGGTCGGTCAAGCCATAATGTTTGTCCAACCTGGCAACAACTAATGTATGCAGTTTGTATTATGTCTATTGAAATACCGGTACTACCGTATGATACTAATCAGGTGAATGAAATAATTTGTATTGAGGCACTTCACAAAGACTTATGCATTAAATTTGGTTACATTACGAAAATGGCCTATTCAATTCCACCTCAAATGGTTTTATTGTTTAGTCCTCATTTATATTCAGAACACCTCATGGTCAACCTTCCATACTGTCTTTTGGTTCTTCCTTCTCCCTGGGTTCTTCCATTATCTTTTACTATTCCATTTTGATGTTTTTGATTGGTTCTTTTTTTAGGATGTCACTCATTGCCATTGCCACACCCTGTTTCTTCCATTCCATGTCCACCCAACTCTCATGCTACCATTTTCATTACATCTCCACTTCACATGGTTCTATTGTTTAGTCCTCATTAATATTCAGAACACCTCATGTTCATCCTTCCATACTGTCAATTGGTACTTGATTTTGATCTGTTAAAATCAAGTTTCTTCTAGTATTAAAGATGAAGTTGAGTTCTGGTCATGCGATTGCATTGTGAAAGAAACGGTGTGGAACCGACCAGTAAAGGTTGATCATCTAGCATATAAGAAATTGTGTGTATTGCAAGGTTCTGGAATCATCAAAATGATAAGAAATTTGGCCAAGTCTTGGTAAAGTTACAAACACTTGCACAGAAAGATGTATATGGGACTACACGAACACGTGGCGTAAAAATCCGGCCCCCGATTTTTACGATGTTACATGCATATTTAGAATATGAAGGCATTTGAAGAGCCATGCTTTTCAGGGAACATGTCTTAACTGATGTTCTTCCACACTTGCATAATAAGAATGAGTAACGCTCACAAATTATTTTTCACCTCTTCCCAGAACTCAACCTTCTCTTTAAAGTCAGTGCAACTCGGGATGTGATTGAATCCAGACTTCATTTATAGTTGTCTTACAAGTTTAATTAGACTAAGCTGTGTATTTTGGGAGTGCAAGAGTCAAGAGTTGACTGTAAGTTGATATTAGCACAAATATATTAGAGCAAAGTCTGAGAGCAGAGAATGTTTCAGTTTACAATACTAACAGAGTAACAGGGTCATGACAGTAGAGTGTACAGGTTATGAATTTTGAGAATTTACTCCATAGAATTTTCATTTCAATACAGACAGTCTTCACTGGAGACTATAAATGGGCTTAAATTAGGAAAACCTAGAATGCCAAGACTTTAAGTAAACTTAAAGTAGTATCTAGATCTATGATAATACTAGATCTAGATCCATTCAAATTAAAACTTGAAAGAGGCTGATGTATCCTGAAGAAGAACATAAAGGAGAAGAATGTACGTCATTATCAGACGGACAAAAGTCAGTTAATCAATTTATTTTGTATTTAATGAGGAATTTTTTTTCTTGTATTATTCATTTCAGATGTTGTGAAGCCCAGCCAGATGATGGCCAGTGCACCAACTGACAGGAACCTCTCCAAACTGAGGGTGAGAATCTAAAGGGCATACATAATCAAGGGGCGATGATACCCCCCCCCCCTCCCCCCTCCCCCTCGCATGCGAAAAAGGGCAAAAGCCAGAAAAAAAGGCAGAAGTAATTGGCTGCAGACAAGTAGTTGTGAGAAAAGTGTGTGTGGGGGGAGGAGGACCATGTATTAGGACCATGTATTAGGGGCAGTGATCGACACTCTAGTTCTTCCTCAAAAGCTCAAATTCACTACAATCAAGAATATAGTGAGGAATTTCCATGCACAAACTAAATCTGTCCAGTTTATCTCCTTTTGAATGAAGGCCAGAGTCAAAAATAAAATGCTCTGATATGACCTGCCTGCTCTAAAACTATCCATAAACCTAACCTTAAAATGCAATCCAACACTTGAAATAACTTCATTTGTATGGAAGCAGAAAATATCAAACGGAATGCCGAAAGTTTGAAATGAATTTGGCCAATAGTAAGGGAGTGACAATTGTTTGAAATATGACTGAGATCACTATATCCATGCTAATCTCAAATTTGTCAAAAATGTATGACTCAAGAGGGTCTATTCTCTTCAGAGGACCTGTGATAATATTTTGAGTAGTGCGCCAAGGGAGAAGGCACTTAGAGGAAAAAACAGAAATTAATGATTTTTTTTTTTGTAGACAACAAAGTTTTCCGGGACTACGTCACAAATCCACTGAACAAACTGCCCATTTGAGAATCCCATAGACTTAGTGATCTCATATGTCAAACATTCATAACTTTCTCATTATTTGTCCGATTTATTTTAAATTTTCGCCATTCTTTTTCTCTGATTTTACTGCTCCTATACAAATGAACTTATTGAAAGGTTGATATCAAGTTCCCAAATCTCAACTGACAAATTTGTGGAACATACTTGTACTGCAGAATACCACCACCAGTGCCATGCATTTATATGTATCCCTACATTCACCCTTACTCTAACCCTAATCCTAATCCTAATCATAACTTTTCCCCCAGACCGAACCCTAACCCTAACCCTAACCCTAACCCTACTTTATGGGGTATTTTTTACATCAAATTTGTTCTTCTTCTTGAATCTCTCCTCCAGGCAAAGGGCCTCTCCACGACACACGACAATGCTGAGGTGGTCAGGTCTTGTTCTGTCGTTGTGATAGCCTGCAAGCCATATCAATGCAAGGACGTTCTACCCGCTTTACCTTTTGGTCCACAGCATCTCGTTCTCTCGGTCGTAGCCGGCCTGAGGTGCCCCATGCATGAAGCCGTGAGTGGAATAAAAAAGGAATTAACAATATCTTTTCAAGAGACATGTAATTGTCTGTGGATGTAAAATAAATGTTCTGTTTATGTTTTAATGTTCTTGGGATGTTTTGCATATACTTTGAAAATGCTGTGTGTTTGCTGGGAAACTGTTGATTTATAAGTGAATCCTCTCATTCCACTAATGTAACGGTTCCTGGAGGCAGAGGGTTAACGTAAGACGAGACAAGAACTGCCCAAGGCACCTGCGAGTTATCTGGACCCCATTTCATGAAATTTCTTACCAATATCAAGTTCTAATAACTATTACAAGCTACTGAAATAGTGGCATTTGATTGGTTGTGAGCTAAATTTGCATAGAAGTTTAGCAATTGTTATCGAAAAACAAGTTTTATGAAACAAGCCCCCGATTCTCAAATTTTACAACTGTTTGTAGTTCTTTACTTGGTGCCTTGAGATTTGAAAAAGGTAACTGCAATTCCTTTAATGGGAAGGAGTGTACAAAAATGTATTGTCCAATCACTTTCATGATAATGTAAGGGTTTTAATTTTACTGATCCAGATGGTTACTTGTTTATTTTACTTTAGCTTTCCACTCTGTTATGCTTCAGCGCACTTCTGACCTACATTCATTCTCTCATGTCTGCTAGCTCTTGGCTTCTATGGCTCTGTTCCCATTCATTCATCCTCATGTACATTACCTGCCATAGCACCACACACACACACACACACACACACACACTCTTCCTATCTCTTGGCTATTCAACCCAGCACACTATAGGTACATGGCACTCTATCTTTCCTTAGGCTAAATTCTATTGGTTGCTTACTTTATGTCCAATCTTGTGATTGGGTGTTATTGTTTCATGGACTGCATGTCAGCCATCTTGGCAGCCATCTTGGCAGCCATTTTGTAGATGGTTTAAAATATAGTAGTGCCAGCTCAAGTCATCAAACATGTAAGAATGGTTTTGTCTTGTGTGGGTCCTTACAATAAGAAAAGCAAGGTTTGACATGTTTTCCTGTGTGATGGTTTTGAAGAATAGTCCAAACTACTATATCAACCTACAATGCCTTGTTATGGCTGTTGATTATGTTTTTTCTGTTTCTCTCCCCCCCCCCCCCCCCCCCCCCCTGCCCCATTCTGAACATGTCGTACTGCTACAGATTTAGCCTCATTGAATCAATGGATATTCACTCCACTTCCTAGGAATTTTTATAGTGGAAAAAATAGATGCAGGTTTGATGTTTTGTGGAACATTCTAAGTATACTAAATTCATTGCTAACAACTATTGTATGCTTCCTAGTGACTGGGGTCAATCCTCCTATTTCGCCATTTTTTTGTTAGAGCTTCTTTTCATCGTCATGTCATAAAATTAATGCCTTTTCTTTTGTTTATGAACTCTCTCTCTCTCTTTCTCTCTCTTTTTTTCCCTCTCTCTCTCTCTCTCTCTCTCTCTCTCTCTCTCTTTCTCTCTCTTTCTCTTTCTCTCTTTCTCTCTTTCTTTCTCTCTTTCTCTCCATCTTTCTCTCCCTCTCTCTCTCTCTCTCTCTCTCTCTTCAATCCACCTCAGTTCCTGACTCCAGGTACACGGTTTGTGCGCACCATGCCCAACGTGGCAATCGCTGTCTGCGAAGGCAACATATCAGGGGTCAGAGGCGCCCATGCCACCGATGAAGATATGGTGGTTGTGGGTAAACTGATGAATCCTATATCTAACTACGAGGTGATGTCCGACCCACAGCTTGATATCATGTCTTCAACGGCTGGCACAGGAGTGGCCTGGGTAAGAAAACAAAAATAGGGCCAGTGTGCTTTTGGCTTTGATGTTTAAAGATGAAGTCGAGTTCTGGTCATGCGATGCATTGTGAAAGAAACGTTTTGTAATCTATCAGAAAAGGTTGTTCATCTAGCATATACGTATTGGTGTGTACTGCAAGGTTTTGTAATCATCAAAATGATAAGAAATTTGGCCCAGTCTTGGTATAGTTACGAGCACTGTACAAAGAAAGATGTTTATAGGATTACACAAAAATGTGGCATAAAAATCTGTCCCAATTTTCATGATGTTACATGCCATATTTAGAATATTAAGGCATTTGAAGAGCCATGCTTTTCACAGAACATTTTTTATATGATGTTCTTCCACACTTGCATATTACAATGATAACGCTCATAAATAATTGTTCACCTCTTCCCAGAACTCGACCTTCCCTTTAACACCTGTGATTTAATCAATGGATTGTAGAGGTGTCCTGGTGGAGTAGTTTAAACACTTGACTGAAAACGTGAAGGTTTGGGGCTGTGTTCTTTGGCAAGACATTTATCTACATTTGCCACTCGCCACCCATGATTCAAATGGGTACCTGATAGGAAGTGGGTATTAATGTGGTTGGATTGGATTGTCATGTGTGCGTTTGTAAAATGGCGCCTGCCTGTAATACTCCCCAGGGAGCAGAGAGTGTGCACTATCGTGTGCAGATTAGCAATTGAATCCAATGACTGTAGTTATAATAAATATAATGTAAAACACTTTACAACTACAACTATTAATATTATCAAAGTTGCAAAAGATTTTAATATTTTTAGAGATTTGGCCAAGGAGGATCTCCTTGTTTATCAAGCTAACATTTGAATTTTGTGCTAAAGCTGTTTTCTGTGACATGTGCTCCTTGCTCCCCGGTCAGTTTTCTACACAAACCAACCTCCCACCTACAACCACAGAGCATACACTCAACCCCACCTTAACCCTAAACCAAGTACTAGACCTCGCCCTAACCCTACCCTAAACCTAACCTAACCTAAATCCCAGTGACAAACCTATCCCTAACCCTATCTATATTCAGGTATCCTGGACTCTTTACAAACTTTTTATTTAGTGTCTGGATTAAAATTTATGAAGTGTATGTGCAACAAGCCCTGAGCACGAAATTAAGACAAGATTAATATTTAATCACAACATCCCCTGCCTTCAATTCCTGTTGGAGATTTCATATCATGTTAGCAATTAAATACACCAATTACAAGTCTTTCGGAATAAACATCAATGTTTCATAACTTCCTTTCTTTCCCTAGGCCGCCATGGTGATGGAAGCTCTTGCTGATGGAGCTGTCAATATGGGGCTCCCTCGCTCTATGGCCATGAAAGCAGCTGCTATCACACTAGTGGTGAGTAAAGTGAAATTGAAGTGGTTCTCTTTAGAGGTATAGACCAGTTCTGGTCATGCGTTTGCCTTGTGAAAGAAACGATGTTGATCATCTAGCATATAAGTATTGGTGTGTACTGCAAGGTTCTGGAATCATCAAACTGATAAGAAATTTGATCCAGTCATGGTGAAGTTACAAGCACTGTACACAGAAAGATTTATATGGGACTACGCGATATCTATCCAGGCCGGATAGATATGATAATTTACCAAATATATCAATTAGTAGGCGGTTTCCCGGCAAAATTTGTATCCCCACGTATTAGTCAAAACATATTCTTTCACATGATTGGTAATAAGAGCTTCCATTTCATTTTTTGAGAGGGGGGGGGAGGGGTGTTTCCAAAACTGGTCTATGCCACTCCAGCAAAGCATAGAGACTCAATGCTAATGTGTATTGACCTCTAGCACTGCATACTTGCTGTGATGCAGGTATTATTAGGTCTATACACAATATTGCATAGACTGCACACAATAAGACCAATTGGGCTGATCGGCAACTTTGACACTAGACTTACAATTTGAATTTTTTAATTCTTTTTAACAGCCAGGATAGTGATGCTCCTATGTGTGGTCTATACCTTGAAATAAACAATGAAATTGTTTCTCTGTTCACACAGGGTACTGGCAAGCTGTACCTGGAGACGGGCAAGCACCCTGGAGAAATCAAGGACTCTGTGTGCTCACCCGGCGGATCAACCATCAGGGGTGTGCACGCATTAGAGAAGAGCGGCGTGAGGGCAGCCATGATGAATGCAGTCGAGGCAGCCCACACACATGTCCTCTCCATGTCTAAGATGTGAAGGGGTGTCACTCCTATCGCCACAGCGGGCATCTCGTCGGCATGTAAGAGTCATGAAGAGTGGTATTGATTACATGAGGTGGTTCTCCATTAATTTGATCAGAAATGGGAATCTTGATTTGTTTTGAAGGTACTATTTTTTATCATATTGATTTACTTGGCATGAAATCTTTTCATCGTATAAAGGAAATACTGTCTCCAAGAAAAGAAGGAAGTGAAACTTTTTTTTAAGGTGAACGGTTCAAGGTGCGTATCTGCATCTATGATCATGCCAATTTTCAGGGGAATACTTTTTATGTGCTTTTCCACAATAGAAAACTAAGGTATAATAAGAAATGACAAAAAAAGGTTTTTACTTCATTAAATGGTAATGATTTTTTTTTTTTTTCCTAAAAAGAAGTTGAGCATTAAGTTTAAGCATTATTCCATCAAGGTTCGACTGTATAGGATATAGATATATTTGTTTAAAGATTACTTGGAGGTCATTTATGAATGTATATCGATTCAAACAGTTTAGATTTCATGCTACATGACTGGCTGATTATGTGTCCTTACAATGAATGATACACCCACATTCATTACCCTTGTGCTTGGTGAAATTCATTTAGTTAAAATAATGTTATTACAATCTCATATTCGAGCATGCGATGTACCACGTACATGTAGCTGGATGAGCTGGGTGTCCTAAGGTCGTTAAGATTGAGACAAACTTTTGAGCTTTCGTCTGTCAAGTGAGTACTCAGTATGTCTGAGTTTGATGTAATAGCCTCCAAAGGGCGTTAACTCATTTCATGAGCGCAAACACAATTTTGAGTAAACCGTGTTTAAAGTTTTCAGACTATGTTTTGAGCCATATTTCACAAAGTTATCGTGAAAGGTTTCACTCAATTTTCACACATTCAGATTCAGATTTATTTTATTAGTCCATTGGGAAATTCAGTTGTTGGCATTACTTAAAGCACATGAACAATATACAATAGAAAATAATATACACAAATAATACACAGTAGCAAACATACAATGACATATTCATATGAAAAGATTATGATGTCTTTTACCTTATACTTTAGAATAACTTGAGAATATTTTATAATAAAATATGCTCGCATTTGAGCATGGAGAAATCCCAGTTTGTTGCAGATCAGGTGTGAATTGGGATTTAAAAGCGGGGTCAGTGTTACATCGCCTATTTACATTGCTCTGTCATCATTGAGATGTTTAGGTCCTGGGGAGATGGATTTTCTATAGTAATGGGAATCAATAACTGGAAGTTTGTATGAGCTGTTTGACCTTGTCTACGATAAAATCCTGTGTCTTGTTGCCGAGAGAGTTCCTTTGGTGCAAGCTGCCAAAGATTCTTTGTTTTCCTGTTTTTCCAGTGAGGACAATATGTCGTTTTTCATTTTGTCATTTGACAAAATCCACAATATCTGTATCCTGACACATTTCTTTTCTTTTTTGACTTTTTTGAAGAGTTTTTTCATTGTGTCGTTGGTGTAATTAGATGACAGGGAATGACGGGTAACAAATGTTGTTGCCCTCCCTGGTCTGCCATCGCGTGCACAGCGACCTACCTCCTGCCAGTAGGCGAGTGGGTTGGGGCTTACACCCAATGTATTACTCGTTCAATATCCTGAATATTGATGCCTATCCCAAAATGTCCTATCAATTGTTAGGCACCAAAGCAGCTCAATCCTTACATATTTTTTATTTCTTTTTTTAACATTTTTGATGCACTTTTTCATAATCTCTTCTGTGTTTTATTAGCCAAGTGAGTGTCCCATCGCAAATGTTGTTGCCCTCCCTGGTCTGCCATCGCGTCCACAGTGACCTACCTCCTGCCAGAAGGCGAGTGGGTTTGGGCTCTCGACCCAATGTTTAACCCTTTCAATATCTGGGATATTGATTCCCATCCCAAAGGCTACAGTACTGATTAAGCATCTCAAAACAGCATCAGGCTGTCTAAAATCAGACAAAATCCTCTGCTGTTCATCCCTCGACAGTTTGCCAGGGTAGATACCAAGACAGCAGTGGGTAGGTGATGGCTGTTGCACGTCTTGGTACAGGAAACCTGTCAGTTTGGCTCGCATATATACAAAAATTTCCCCACAGGTACTTAAACTTCTGTGTAATACAAATGACAAATAATGAATGCATTGTTAATAATGATAATAAGCAATTCTGTAGCGCCGCCTATCTAGAAATTCTATTCCGAGGTGCACTAATTATTACCCGGCTTTAGCGTAGCTGCCATTACAGGGAGGACAATAAGTCTTTGTTCATTTTGTCGATGGACAAAATCCACAATATCTGTATCCTGACACATTTATTTTCTTTTTTGACTTTTTTGATGTTTTTTCATTGTGTTGACGGTGTTTTTCGATGCTAAAGAATGGCTCGTAACAAATGTTGTTGCCCTCCCTGGTCTGCCATCGCATCCACAGCGACCTACCTATTGCCAGTAGGCGAGTGGGTTTGGGCTTGCACCCCAATGGATAACCCTCTCAATATCTGGGATATTGATTCCCATACCAAATGCCACAGTACTGATTAAGCATCTCAAAACAGCATCAGGCTTTTTGAAATCCGTTAAAATCCTCTGCTGTTCCTCCCTTGACAGCTTCCCATGGTAGATACCAAGACGGCAGTTGGTAGCTGATGCCTCCTGTACGTCCTGATGTAGAGTATCTTTTAGTTTGGCTCTCATGTAGACAAAAATGTTTCCACAGACAGCTTCCCATGGTAGATACCAAGACGGCAGTTGGTAGCTGATGCCTCCTGTACGTCCTGATATAGGGCATCTTTTAGTTTTGCTCTAATGTAGACGAAAATGTAATGATGTAGTGTTGTTCATTCAAAATAACTTTTTATAATTTGTGAGTCCCCATTTGTTTTTACATCCTACTTCCAAAAATATTCCTGTGCAGTTGCTTGTTAGACATGCTCACAAGGTTTCAAGGTTTTTTCCACATAATATAACATATTCAAATGAATATGCAATATATACAAATTCAATAACATCATATTAACCAAAGATACAACAAATGCTTATACAATTGTTCAAATAAATCATTTGAGATTGGCACAGTGGGGAAACATAGTGGAGGAGTCTATTAAAAAAGCAGGGCTTGTATTTTATAGACCCTTTGAGAATAACAAAAGTTACAAGTGCTTTGTAATAATAGAAAATATATGTATAAAAATGCTTAGGTAATCCTACACCCTCCTCCCCCCCCCCCCCCCTCCCCTACGCTACAAAACAAAAAGGTTGTCTTTAACATTGGTGTATACACAGAATTTTTACAAGACATTAAAATAGCTCCACCATGAAGAAAAATGGTGTGTTGTGTTGTCTTATGTCTAGTATGGTATATTGTGGATACACCTAGATTGATTTCACAGTACAAAGCTTTCAACACATGTGCACTATAGGCTTATCACAATGTCCTTATTCTTTTTATCAATTGTCAGGCGCCAAAGCAGCTCAATCCTTACATTTTTTTATTATAAAAACAAAATTTTGATGCACTATTTCATACTCTCTTCTGTGTTTTTTAATTGTCCCATCACATGGATGTCACTTCTGCAACTACAGAAATATTTGCAAAATAAATGGCTGGCAGTGCTGTTTACATGGTGAATGTTCTTCCAGTGAGGATATGTCCTCATTCATTTTGTCAATTTATTTTTATCTTTTTTTACATAATAGTTCAGCAACAACACTCGAACATAGCATAAACATTTACAAAATGCACACTGGCAGGAATTAGATGGCTGGCAGTGCTGGTGATAGTTCAGTGGGGACAGTATGTCCTTATTCATTTTGTCAATCGACAGAAGCCAAAGTAGCTCAATCCTTACACATTTCTTCTTTTCCCTTATTTACACTTTGAATGCACTTTTTCATACTCTCTCCTATGTTTTTTAGCCGAGTGAGTGTCACATCGAAGCGCGTACGTGGAATCTTAAGGGTGATAACGTCCTGAGTGGATTGCCCAAACTAGGCATAGGCCTAAAGACACAAGCGCACTTACGACGAATCTCAGTGAAGCACTAGATAACGCCCTTATGCTTTCCATGAATGTCGCAAAAAAACAGTTATCGTTATGTTTTTGATGCACATGTTGATGAATTATAATAATGTAGTAGTAGTAGAATGGTTTTATTAGAACAACTGCGAAATGGTAGCCCGAGAGCTAAATTACATTGCAAGTTTTACAAGCTCAGTTTTAAACATCATTTCAACAAAACTTAGATATAGATAAATATGAATAGTACACAGTACAATAGATCACAACTTATTACATATTCCATACTTGCAAACAAATTGATGATACAAATAGAATAGATTCGTCATTATTATTTTAGTAATTATTGTTAAGTGAGGAGTATTCATATTTTAAGTAGAAATTGAGGCTGATTAATTGAGTTTATGACAAGTAAATACTGAAGATTTGTTTGATTTCAAACCATAATGCAATAGTATATATAATAATACGAAAAGGGAAGAAAAAATCTATAAAATGACATGTAAAAAGGTTTAGGTTTTAGTTTTTTTTTTAAAAGTCAACCAGGAACACAACTTTTGTAAACGTCCTTATGCTTCTCAATAAATGATATATTGTCATTTCTGTTAGGGTGCTAAATAGGATAATGCAGTCTACACTGACTTTATGTGATATGTTTGACTTCTTAATTAATACTGCATGACATAATGGAGTTGTATTTATTTTTCATAACAGTTTTATTCCTTTATCCCTTATTACTGTGAGAGAAATTTATATGACTGATTTTTAAAAAAAAGATGTGTGTGCGAATCATATATATGTTTATGATGGTATTGTCTGAAAGACATTTTAGTGTGTTTTACTTTTTGTTTCCTTTCTATAAGGTTTCAAAATGTTGAGTCCTTATTTTAAGTAATACAGTGTCTTCCAGAAGAAACAAAATAATGACACCCTAAATCCCTTTTAAATAAAAATATTACAAAAAAAATAAAGTGTTATTAGCATTGTGTTGTTGTTTTTGTCACAATTGGTTGTTGTAGCGTGGTCAAAGGAGTTAAACGGATTGAACAATTAATTAGTGTTTCAAATCCTCTAGATTAATGTGATATTAGTAAATTATGAATTCTTGCTTTGTATGTTTAAAGAATCTGTGGATTTATAGTATGATGAATGTACATTTTAAGCATGATTCTTTCTAACGTACATGTAGGCCTTTGTGATTTGTTTAGCACTTTATTTTGGTGGGGATTATTTTGTAAACTTTAAAGACCGTCAATACTACTGAGCTAGAAGGGATAAGACCACACAGCGAGGTCACAGACAGGTGGCTATCGCATTAACTCAGCTCTCAACTAACATAAAAAATAGAGGATCACGGGGGACCAACAGGCACCAATTGGGGAAGTTTTCTGTATAGAGGGAGCAAGTAGCTACAAGTAGGACAGTGGGGCTTTAAGGCTGCTTGCTTTAATGAACCTCGCTATGTGGACCAAGTTAGATTTATCTTTGAATATGTTTTGAAGCGTCATTTGGTTGGTCGTATACTCAAGTGTAGTTGTCAAGTTCTTCAATTATTCTCTTAGTTTTTGCAATCTAATAAGAAGTGGCTTACATCGGCATAGTGTGCTGTTATTGCCATCTCTGTCATTTTGACACAAATTATTTCTTACAAACAGACATTTGTTGAGCTAGACTAATTTTTTCCACCTCCACTTGCCCTTTAATGTTTTGTTTTTCGTGCTGTTGTGTTCGTTTATTTTGTTTCCCCCCAAGATGGTGTACAAGCATCATGTGTGAAGAATGCTCTACCTCTCTTCTGTAATTCATCGCATGAGAATATTTAACAGCACAACAATTTTTGAATGAAATAAAGAAATATAGAAAAGGAATTGTCATCTAGGACTTCTTTATTTGTATCTGAACAGACAGTTTGAAAGAGTAGCATGTGATATCCAAATTATATAATATTTGGGTGGGGTGAAAGAGAAAATGAGAGTGCAATGGGGTTGGTGGGAGGGGGAGGGGTGGCTGCAAGAGTTTTCATATGTGTTTTTGAAAAGGTGTAGTAGACAATATGACCAATAAAGTAAGTACACATGTATTATGTTAAAAACTGTCAATTTTGACTGTTAACCCAAATGACAGACGAGGCTATATCAATATTTTGTGGATCAAACGATACTTGATTAAAAACTTGTTTAGGTGCGTACCCAACTATCTCTCTGCTATCTCTCCTCGTACCTTTTTCCAATCTTTCTTTCCCTCTCTCACTATCCTCTCTCTCTCTCTCTCTCTCACACACACACACATACCCTCCTAACAAATCTTGTCTTGCACGAAACATTTCAAAATAATTCTTCGATGACCATCAGATGAACATGCAAGTAAAAGCATTCTGGAGAGAGACACAAACACAAAATACTCTATAACATCGTCAAATTTATATTCTATGAAATTAGGATTTTTAAATTTTATTCAACATTCATATCAGTTGTTGCTTAATATACAACATCATAATAACGACTGAAAAATAACATATCGTCTCATAAATACATTTTACATACATTTCAATTTTTCACAAGAACAAGCTGCATGAAAAGAGGGCACAAGGACTATCAAAATGAAGAATAAAAAAGCATTATCATAATCCTTGAATTATTCTTATTTAAAATCTACATACCTAAAACTATTCAAACTATACTTTTATGTTTATATGAAAACAAATATACATGTATATTCCCATTAAAGCCAGAGCTCAAAGAGAGTACAAATTTTGCAGCTTTTTTGATAAATATAGTTTGTCTAGTAAACTAAAGTCTATTGCAGATTCTTAACGTATTGGGCCCTTATTCAAAATGAAGTATCGGTACATGTATGGTCTGTGAAAAAAATAAATCTCTGCAGTTTTACATTATTCAATTAAGGGAGGCATTTAAGGATAATAAAGCAATGATGGCACAGAAAAACCTGAATGATGTTGCAGTGGAATTAAACATTCATTATTAATGATGGTATTCTTATATATGATGCTTGCAAAATACTAACATTTTTATATATTTAAGTATTGATTATATGTATATGGGTTTGAAAGCCAATATAATCTGTTTGGAACCAGAAGGGCGTTAAAGCTGTGTAAAACTTATTTGAGTTAATACCCTTCCGACTCCAAATAGAAAGCTTTTGCAGCTAAGAGCCTTATGCCGATCATGAATTGTTGAATAGCAATGAGACACAAAATATCTATTTCTCTATTTGTAACTTACTTACTTGTGCCCCTTTTCTATGCAGCAGGTATCATTTAAATTGTAACATTCATACAGAGACCATTGTCTTTCCAAGGCAGTCGTAGCAAGTCAAACCTTAACGTTTTATTCAGTTCCCTCTTTCCAGAAACGTCATAAGGACACGATTACCCTACATATTTGTGCGTTATCAAACTGTCAGTTATGGAGATAGTGATATTGGGATATTCTGCAATTGTTGCAGAAGTGGTAGAGCAATAATTGATTTTGCTTAAATTTTCAGGCATAACTTTATACAAGGAATGATGGCTAGAAAAGAATTAATTCTGCTGTGACATGAACATTTGGACCGACTTGTTTCTTCAAAGAAAACATTTTATATAACATCGCATGAGCTAATAGGTGGAAGTACAGGTTTGACATCCAAAACAACCAATGCGAAAATGTGCAATTTTGATTGCTTTATCATGATGTAGGATACACAGAGAAGTTTGTAGATTTAAACAGATCATACCTCGAGCGAATAAAAGATGTTCCATTTCTTCCGATAAAATTGCAAAATTTCATAATTCAATAATCATTGGTATAAACAAGAGCTGGCAGCTTTTAATGTTGGAATTTCAGATTCAATGCATGAACACATTTTAAAAAAAGATATCATGGGTAAAATATTTACTGCCGTTTCCAAAAAATCATTTGCAAGCCTATGCTCCTACTTTGCAGACCTCTAATACTAGAAAAGAACAAAATGAATTGGGGCCCCAAAAATGCACATTACTCTTTGTATGCGTAGTCTCTATCAAGTGGCATTATACACAAGTAATATCTCCCCTTCCCCACTCCCATCCCTTTCTAACTGACCTTTGACCTTTATCAATACACTTTCACTTTGCTTCCTTCAACACACACACACACACAAATACAAACACACACGTCCATATCATGTGATGGATTGATGGACTAATATAGGCACATTAAAAAAACATAGTATAAGTAGGATTGACATTTATAATAACCAAACACTTTACCTTTTTTTTTAGTCTTTTGTTTCACAAAAAAGCTCATTCGAGCAGTGAAAGACTTGCACACTGTGTATAGTGGGCACTCCATAATCAAGGCAATTTGCATTAAGACTAGGACCTAGTAACATCAAATAACACCAAAGATAAATTAAAATTCACAACAAAATTTGAAAAAGGAGAAGCCGTAATACAATGTAATTTAATTTAATTGTTCTACAGGTTAAAGACCAGTTGAATCTAGCAAGTTGGCATTGATAGGGGCAGTGTTCTGAACGTGTTAATTTTTTTGAAATTTTGTGTACAAGGGTTTCAAAAAGTTTAAGTTTTTTTTACATGTCATCACATTTAGGAGCAAATACATTGCTTCTTTTAATTGCAAATTACAACTGAATTTGCTTTAAAAAAAGGTCCTCATTTCATGCACAAATACAAATTCAAAACATGTGATATTACGCTAGGCTTCATTGACCATTTATGCCAAATCTGAGGAAATGGGAACAAAATAATCATATTTGGCTAGATATTGCCTTACAATTCAACCAGTGTCTTAAAAAGGCAGTTAAGCAAGATTACGCTGTACACACTAAAATACCACAAAAATATACACATTACAGCAGGTGTTACAAATAAAAACCCTGAATTTCAACAAATACTACAGATATATCTCTTTCTAAAATATTTGAGGGAACAAAAAAAAAAAAAATTTTTGGTGGACCTTGCTTCCTCCTATTTTCAAATCAACATCTGAATAGATTATTCTGATGGGGAAAAAAGATTCAAGATATATAGTGCAAAGTTAGGATACCCCTAAAACAAAAACGTAACGCAAGACATTTTCGTGACTATACAACAACCAAATACAAATGTGTAGTAATGAAATAGAATGCTCTAACTAACCATTACGTAACATCATACACTGCAGTGCTGCTCAATAATATGCCTGCATCATCATCATTGAGAACTATCAACAAGTGTAAATGGGATCCTTGTTATCTAAAGGATTATTGTTATGTTTTTTTAGTACCTTTTGTACCCTCTTTCTTTCTTTTTTCTTTTTTCTTTTTACAAAATATATTCATAGTTCCTTACTAACCTGATGACCATTTTGTCTTCTTTTTATTCCAACATGTCCATGTAAGTGGTAAATTGTCAACAAATCTGAATAAGCAAACAAGTATACCACATTAAATATCATGGATTAGGAATAAGCAAAATGAAAATAACATCCCTGTCATATTTTTGATCATGTTTTGAATCAACACCAAAGGAAGAGCAAATTTTTGATAAACTATTGATTTCAAGAATATATTAATTTTTCATAGTCATCTGCCATATTGTTTTATATTTACATCATAAAACATATACCACTCGTTTCCTTTCATCGTATACCTGAATATCTGATATAGATTATACAACTTTACATAATATTCCTGACATTACAACAACCCAAAGCTGATATAAAACATATCTCTCTCAAATACGACGACTTTTACTTTCTCTGTTTCATCCACTTTTCAAAGCAAATTGCAAAATCAATGATCCAAAAGATAGAAGTAGCAAATATGACAGAATAGTATGATTTTCTAAACATTATTCGAAAACATTCATAATTTCAATGATGTTCCTCTCTCTCCTAAAGAAAAACATAAAATGGAGGAAAAAGATAACCCCTTGATAAAAGCAATACAACACATACAAACATGTGTATCATGTGTAAATATTCAAGATAAAAGTTATGTATTTCCTTCCCTCCATCGAGAGATCATACTATAGTCTATTCAAGTTCAACGAATCAAAATAAATGTTAATTGGGTCTGCACTTGCAACAGAAACACTGCTTAAAACACGCAGACAATTTCAATCATTCAAAAGAATGCAGTTGGTGCAAATAATCCCAACAAATCAATTACATTTTTATCTTATGCCATGACAGCAAAAAAATGTTTAACTGAGATACAATGTATCTACAGCATTTTGTTGCATTTTAACAGCCAATCGACTTTCTATTAGTTGCACCACCAAAATAAAATCATTTCCCCTTTTCTACATCAACATGTAGGAAGAGAGAAGCCGACGGCACGGAGAGGCAACGGTATATATCGACATGAAAATGTAAATATTCAAGCATTTTCCAGACAAGACGAATATCAAATGGCACTTTGAACTTCAAAAGCCTGCTCAAATCAGCTTTGCACAGAAATAAACACTTGTGTATATCTAGTACAAATGTGAGCATTTTGGGGCTTACGAGAGCAGAGCATGTGTGAGCCTGGACATCACTTTAAAAGCCCCTAAGGTTCTTCAGTAAAGAGTGGAAACAAAACATTTAGAGTCATTATGCATAATTCACTATGTTGTGCAAGATATAGTGTTGTATGTGCGGGGATAAGAGATAGACAATTTACAATATAAGACAAAAATTGCTTTCATTACATGAAAGTAAAATAAACATATATAATATGTGAAAAATTTGAAAATGCATAAATGTCATGAAGAAAATCAATTGATGTCTTTACAAGGACAACACACATTCCACAAGAGATTAACGTACATTGTAGGTGTTGAAACATACATAAAAAAAGACTGAAAAAACTTCTGGCGACAATCATCATAATTCTTCTTCCCGTACAGGAAAACTGGGAGGATCGACGGACTGAAAGACATCAAGTTTTTCTCTTTCTCCTCCTGCTATTTGTTCCTGTCCGAACGAACCAAGGTGCGGTCTTTGCAAAGCATGCTGGGAGGTCAGAGTTGAACTATTGTTGTTTGCATTCAGAATGCTTTCACAGTCTCCTTCCTCCTCGCTGCCTAACACGAACCCTGACATTTCCACCTCGTTCGTATCTCTGCACAACGAGCTGGTGTCCAGGAGCGGCTCCCGTTTCAGGAGAATGTCTGTTGGCGTGGAAACGGCACTACCGGTGGAATTTGAGGCATAGTCACTGCTGTATTCCATCTGGGAGGACATGAGGAGATCGGCTTTGGTCTCGAGATCCTTCTCGCTCTTTCGCGTCACAATCAACTTGAGTTTCTCGTTCTTTCTCTCCACAATCCCTCCCTTCTTGGATTCTCCATCCTGGATGTCTCCCATCCCGCTATCTTCCCGATCTTTATCCACCTCGTCGTCTCCTATATCAGGAATCGTCATGGTAACATTGCTTTCTCCTGATACAGGTTCAGTTTGGCCCTCAGCGATACGCTCTGCGTCACCGACAACAATATTTGTTGCCATTGCATCCATATTTGCCACCATCTGCCCTCCCCTTGTTGCAGGACTCCCATCACCTGGCGAGCTTTGTCCACCCTCGCCTTCATTGGCCACAACGGTGCTCTCGCTATCATCGGTCACATCTCCCGCTTCCTTGCTGTCGTCACTCCCGCTGCTCCCGCTTTCATCACTCTGAACAGTGCCCTCTACTTGCAGCTTTACGCTCCCCGACTCATCATCTACCACCTTCGAGGATCCCAGGCTTAAATCAGCTACAGATACGTCCCCTCCCTCATCACCAGAGGGTTCTCGTATACTTGGCACATCCTCCTGGAAGCATTTGTCCTCCCGCTCTTCACTCTCTCCTCCATCTTCTTGGACTCCATCCTCATCATCACCGAGTTTTTTTCCTTTCATATTTGCAGCACTTTCACCACCATCACCCTCACCATCTCGAACACCGGCCCCCAGCCAGCCATCACCTGGCACGCTATCCTGGGGTATATCCTCTGGGAAGTCGAACGTGTCCTCAACATCCGTTGCCGTGACAACACCTGATGAGAAAGAGGAGGATGCACTCAGGTCCTGGGGTATTGCACTGTGGGCCATCTTCACACTGGCGGCAGCATCCTCGTAATATTGCTGTATGGGAAAGACGAGATAGCACAACATAAAAATCTAGACAGAAAAGACATCAATCTGCTATAATGGACCCTCCACAATTTGACTGCACTGTCTTGTTCTTCAGATGCGCCTACTAGTTAATCCAACCCATGATAGCTATTTGGGTATTTTTAACTATTCAAAATATTTCACTAGATAGGAATGAAAAGAAGAATCCCCATATTAAAATGTGATTACTTGCTCCTGTAAAATCTCTTTTACTGAAATCCCATATTCAGTGACAGCCTTTGCTAAAAAAAAAGGAGATTGCTCCTTCTTTTTTGTATATGAACAAAATTAACACTACTTTGTAGCTGCTTGCGCCCTCTATATAGCCAATAATGCCTAAGTGGTACCTGTTGATCCCCATGGTCCTCTTTTTCTTATGTTAATTGAGAGCTGATTTGATGGATGAGATAACCACCTGTCAATGACCTTGCAGGGAGGTCAAATCCCTCCTGGCCAAACTAGTACAGATAGGCTATAATACCAACTTTGATATTCAGACACCTTACTCAAGATTTCAAATGTCATACAACAAAATGGCGGACTTGTACTCACCATCTTGGCTAGGAGCCTATCTAGACCATCCTGGATCTCCATGGCAGTAGAAGGAGCAGAAAGACCCAGAGAGGTAAACTGGTTGAAGATCTCACGGCTGTGGCGAAGAGGCTTGCTCTGAGCAAGTAGGAAAAACAAATGTACGGTTAGACAAAACTCTGTGGAGAGATGCATCCATGATAGCTTTTTTGTAGCAGTACCATAGAGGTGTTTTTAAATATTACACACTAATAGTGTTATGTAATCAAATTTGATTTTCAGACATTGTGACTGCATATTTATTAAATGGATTGGGTATCTTTGCCTCAGATACTAAACAAAATCCAGTAATTAGCTCATGCTGCAATCACAGTTATAAACCTTAAGGTCAGTCAAGAATCCCATGACTTTTGTAAGCTGATCGCCAATCTTATTATCAAGATATTTATGATTGGACAATCGAAATTTCAAAAACAGTTTTCCCAACGTTTTTTATAACACTACAGTCTATTGGGGGGACTAAGTATGGTAACACCGGTCACTCAAAGATTTCTACTTTTTTGAGGCACTTCATGATCATTTTGAAGCCCAATTTTTTTAGGGCTTCAATATTACACCATATCACAGACAATTTAATTTAACATTGTTAAACGATGCTTTTAAAGGAGAACTAACCCCAAAGAATAAGTTGTTGTATTCATTGTATTCTGGCCCATCAATCTACAAGATGCCCCACCAAAGTGTATGAGAAAGGCATAAAGCAAGAATAAAGTACAGTTTCTCAGCAATACATGGGCATCACCATTTTCTTGATTGCATGACGTACTATGCGTAGTCGTTTATCGACTAAATGTATTCAAATTTATTGATGCTTCCTTCCCAGGTGTTTGTGGTGTTAAAGCATTTCATTCACCTGCTATTATCCTTTGTACTCCAACTGCCAGAATGCAAATTACATAAATAAGTTGGTGCTGTTCTGGGGTGAAGGTTTCGCAAAAATGAAAAAGATTTTTCAACTGCTATATTTTTAGTATTTTTAAATAAAAGAGAAACAACTGTTATTCTGAGCAAGACATTTTTTTTAATGATTGGCACAATTTAAGGTAATACCACTTTCAATTTCTAGGGGCGCTACTTACCAACCACGACTTTCTCTTGCTCTTCTTCTTCTTCAAATTGGCAGCTTTCTCAAACACCTCATCATCTTCATCACCTTTCTTTCTCAGAATGGTGTATGACCCCTCCTCGTCCTTGAATGATGAACTTCGACCAAGGGAACTCACTGAAATTTTACGAGAGAGAAAGTGTCACCATTACATTCATGATATTACAAAATGTTAAAAGTTCAATTTCAAAATTCATCACTGTTCCCTGAGAACAATTTTTATTGAAATGTAATTTCAATGTATATTGTTCTATGAAGATAACTAGCTACCGATCAAGAGATGTGATAAACATGTCACCCAATATCTGTTAGGCATACAATAAAAGATGTTGTATTGCCCTTTAGGTGCCAACACATGGGCCGGTCGGTCAGAATTTTTTTTTTTTTTTTTTTTTTTGCTCCCTGTTTGGGCTAATATTTCTTAGTTATGAAAGCTTTTAATACATATTTTTGTATTCATTAAACTTTTTTTCTTCTAAAAAATTGTTTAAAAAAAATTAATTAAAAAGCCGACCGTAGATTTCAAGATTTTTTTTTTAAAAGCATTATGGACACCATCATATGGGAGAGGAGGCAGAGGAAGACCAGCCAAAAAATACACAGATGTGCTCAGAGAAGACATAGGACCGGAAGCTGAAGACCTCAGGAATGCCATGTTAGATAGGAAGTAGTGGTCCATCATATCACATGAAACCGGAAGGACTTGGCTAAAACTAATCTAGACTATTATGTATTAAACTTCTAGGGTCATTGTTGCAGTACGGAAATATTGTTGGAAGTATTAATATGGTAGACTTCTTTTCAACAATGAAAATGTACTGGTAAACGCAACTTTCCCAAAGTGAGCCAACAGTGATCGAGTCATTACTTAATAAATTTCAACAAAAGGTCCTAAAAGGATCTGGTTCCAAAACTCTTTTACAAGCTCTGGCAAGCTCCATTACCTGAGGAAGATGGACTGGCCCCACTGAGAGGGCTACCCCCTTGTGACAACGCCTGTCCCTCTCCCTTGGGTAGCAGTCTATGGAGATAGGTTACTAGACATTCAATCTGGGCACGCTCTTCTTGGAATGGTTCTCTCGTCGTTTCGTACTCAAACCTGCAAATGGGGTCAAACGGATAAACTCTTTATTATATACTGAAAAGGAATATTATTAAAATTTGTTCTCTTCTTCTTCTTCTTCTTCCATTGGAGTACATCCCTCTTTACAGAGTATTGTCTTACTATACTGGGGTGTGCAGGTGGGGTTTCCCCCTACTCTTATACCAATAGTGCAGTGGGTTCTTAATGTGCAAAGGTAGTGATTCTCCTCTACATGGGGCCTCCATTTAATGGCCTATCTGAGGGACGGAGTGTTTTCCACTTAACATAGACCCCGTCTATGAAACATTTGTTAAATTGCCTAATTCTTTAAATTCATTTGAAGAGTCTGTGTACAACTATCCCAATGGCACAGAAAGAGCTATGCTTCATCAATTTTCCCCAAACTTGGCAAATACAAGGGGGAACTAGTAGTCCATTGAAATGTTGGTGTCCCCCCCCCCCCCTGCTCCCCTCCCTCCCTCCGTGATAAATACTTTTTCAAAAAGAATAAACTATGAATATGCACCATTAGCAGACATGAATGCCCTACATTTTTGTACACCATGCAGGCTGTCTGACGTAAATATACAGATAATTAAATTGGCTAAAATCCCAAACCCTCGGCCATACAGGCAATACTCATGTCACTTTTAAAAGTTTCATAGTCATTCCTTTGTCAAAATTTGAGTGGGGGAATTCCCTCAATTTTCATTGATATTTTTTTATGGATTCTTTAGTAGTTAAAATATATTACAAAAGTTAATAATTCTATACACCCTTACATGGCTTCTTATCATGAACAATGTCTAAAGGAGGGACATCCTTGCACTGGCGAGGTTAAAGACAAAGGAGGCAGACTGGAACGTCCCTGCAGTCTTACATTACAATTGGTCGTACTGATTTTATCATGTTACAGCATTAAGTCTGATGAAGATGTCAATGCAAAGACAAGGGTTAGTACACAGAGACATCACTATAGTCCTAAGTTCCACTAGTCATCAGACCTTATCTATCGATGGGTCATGAGATCAACAGGACATTTGGTCTTTGGTTTGCGTCCTTTATGGGCGAGGGTCGGTCTATCTTTTATCAGAACAATGGGAAATAGAAATGAGACAGGAATATGGTCTTCCATAAAACCATTGGGATATATAGAACCAATGTGCCATAAGAACAATATACAGCATGCCCATTGGGATATAGAACCAATGGACTGTCAGACCAATATGAAGGAGGACCAATGGGATATACCACCAATTTGCCATTAGACCAATGAGATAAAAGACTAATAGGCTGTGAGACCATTGAGATATAGGATCAATTGACCAGTCTACCGTAACACTGCTGGGACACAGGACCAATGAACTGCAAACTAATATGCAGTAAGACCATTAGGATATTGGACATATGCTCTGAAAGCCTACTGAAATACAGTACCACTGGGTTATTGGTCTAATATATACAATTAGACCAATGGTCTTCAAGCCCATTGGAACATATGACAAATGGGTCATATGCCCATTATGCAATAAGAACAATGGTCTTCAAGCCCATTGGAACATAGTACCAATGGGTCATAGGCCCATTATGCAATTAGACCAATGGTCTTCAAGCACATTGGAATATAGGACCAATGGATGATAAGCCCAATGGACTAATGGGGTGTAACATTTACTGCAGTGGGAATATTGGGATATAGGACTACAGAGACTAGGGATAGTCTTACCATTCTCTCTTGTGATTGGCTTCCTGGGCTTTCTTCTCCTCTTCTTTCTGTCGCTCATTCTCCAACCTCTGAAGCTCACTAAACTCCCGGTAATCACGCATCTGCAGTTGGAAGTCGGCATTGAGCTGCCGTCGCATGTCATACAAGCTGTCAATTTCTGTTGGGAGCACAATGGAAGGAAAAAAAAATCATGGAAAGTGAGAACTCTAGGGGTTTTCGTTGATGTTTATTTTGGTTATACATTGTAATGCATTGTTATACATTTTGTTCAAACCTTATACAAGGAATCTGCATGACCGATACGCGACATTGTCTTTAATGTATCGGTAATGTACACATTATGTGCGCTGAAATGTGACTTACTTTCTCATCTTGTGTGAATTCCTACCTATGAAGAGCGCTAAGACAAGGTGAGCAAGGTCATTTAAGAGATTAAATCTTTGGAATTAAGCCCTCGTAACTTTTTGGCTTCTTGTTTCATTTTGAGGACAAAAAAAAGATGATTGAGGTCGTTTAAGATTCCCTACAACATTTTTCCCTGAGACCTGTCCTTCCTAGTGATGAAATGACATAAAATGCAACTATCAAAATGGAAGCTTTACATCACAGTCCTAACTTTAAAGTTTCACACACTGTCTGTCTACCTCTGTGTATTACAAAAATCACATATATCATATATATATATATATATATATATATTACATGTATATATCATATATATATATCACACATATAAAATCGTTTAATTTTTTATTTGAAGATTGTAAACATTTTTGTTGTTAATCCAGCCCCACACAATCAAATGCTTGATTATCTATGTTATATATCTTAAAATATGCCTTTCTTTTCATTTAGCTTTTGTAGCATCATATAAGGAGACACGATGGCTGAATGGTAGAGCAGTGGTCTCATAACCAGGAGGTTCCAAATTCAAAACTCAAGGCGATGCGCCAGTGCCCTTTGGAAAGGCATTGATCTTCATTACCAAGTCCCTCAGAGAAAGCTTACATGTACATGTACACACGTTTTCTTAGCAGTCAGGTAAAACAAACCATCCAACCATCAACTATTCCGGGCATACGCAATAGGTTTTACTCCTCCTACGAAGCATTTCCCAGCTTCTTTCTTGTCTTATTCTCTATCTCTATATCAAGATCTGGGCCCCGTCTTACAAAGAGATATCAATCGCAACTACGGTATGTACATAAGAGATAGGAGACTGCAAACTTTCGATTGATTTGGATCCATTGCAACTCTTCATAAGACGAGACCCTGGACTACACAATCACCCTGTTTCATTTCTTAATTCCCTCCCTCTATCATCCAGCCTCTCTGCTCCTAAAATACCACATTCCTGTCTCACCTTATCAGGACCTGGATCTCATAATCAATTTCTTACCTTTCTTAATTCTATCTCTCTGTGGTCCAGCCTCTCTGTACCTGGTCCAAGCCTCATCGGTCTTGCTCTTCATCCTGAAAAGCTTCTGGCGTATTTCATCTTCTTTAGACTTCAGCTCTGTTACTTTCTTGAAGTAGAACTGCCAAAAAAAGAGGAGGAAAAAAACAGAACAGTTATTTTAATAAAATCACAATGTACACCTATTACACGTTTCACTCTGACTGTATAATATTGAATTCAAAGAGCTGTTCCAATATTCAAGAAAATTATCAAGACATTTAAGGGAATAGGTGGATACAAAAAATCATCTTGCTGCTTGATTTCAGACAAGCTACATTCAATAGGTTTCAAAATGTTTACACTGCCTTTACAGACAATATCATGCTTGCAGGTCAACTATATTTTTTTAATAATCATCTACATGTATACAAGATATTCCGAAATGTTGACTACCAGCAGTGAATAAGAACTTTTGTGTACTAGGAGATTGTTTGGGATAGGAAATGATGGTGGATTTAAGACAAATTCTGACATCAAATACAGAAACTTGTGACAAGGGGCAACTACATGTACATGTAGGCTCCATCATATACAAATTACATATAATCTGGATCAATTTCAAGTTAAATTCAAAGTACAATGAATATAGGCACCCTAGCCACTTGAAAAGAGTCGAATCAGAATGAATCGGAACTCTTTAGCAGAAGAATAGAAAGTATGTGGGCTAAAAGCCGTTAAATAAAGACCACATTATAGGTATCAGATTTCTAAGGGATAACCTGTGATATCCTATTCTCAGAACCATATCCTTATCCCATGACATTAAGATTAAGTTTAATTTTGGAGGAAAAAAAAATTATCAGGAAGGCAGGATTTCCTTTAAAAGACAATAATTTTAAAGGTAGAATGCACTGTTGGTCAGGGTAAAAGACAGTCACAGAGAATGTAGATGCTCTGCAACCACAGGAATTATGAATTTCTTTGAAATCAAGACAAAGCAATCCACACCCATTCAGAGTTATAGGAAGAGAAAAAGAAAAATAGGAAGCTGGGGAGGAAGCACAGAAAGTCAAAATGTTCTATTTGCCTTCAAATTAACAGGCACATACATACATGTATATGGTTCCCCTTTGTACATATCCACATACCTAGAGTTCTCATTTGGGAATATCCAATAATTGTTTTGGAAACATTCCAGGCTTAAAATCACATGGCAGTTATCCTCACATACCTCTATCTGATAGATTTAATGTTAAACGCCATTTACCAGATATATAGAGGTACATGCTTCATGCTTTTTATGTTCAAAATGACTTTACTTGTATGGATTATGATGTCTGTTTGAGAGTCAAACAGAAGGGCCCTTTGAATCTGTCCTTCTGTCTTTCAACAAATATTATGAAGTGGTAAAAAAACCACACTGCACTTTAGAATTAGCCATGAAACTTTATATACATGTACATGGTGGGAACTTGTAACTGCATACAATGAATACTTCACACTGAAACCAAAATCGTCGGATTGACTTAAACAATTTATGATTCTGAATTTGTATACTGCTCCCCCTCCTCTTTCTCTTCCTCTCTCTCTCTCTTTCTTTTTTCTCTCCGTTTTCCCATTTCCCGTCTTTCTCTCTCTCTCTCTCTCTCTCTCACTCATTTTCTCTTTCTTTCTGTTTTCCCATCTCTCTCTCTCTCTCTCTCTCTCTCTCTTCATCTTCATATCTCTCTTTCCCCCTCCTCTCTCTCTTTCTCTCTCTCTCTCTCTTTCCATCATCTCTTCCTCTCCACTTTCATATCTATGTTTCTCTCGTTTCTTCCCCTCCCTCCCTCTCTCTCTCTCTCTCTCTCTCTCTCTCATTTTCTCTTTCTTTCTCTGTTTTCCCATCTTTCTCTCTCTCTCTCTCTCTTCATCTTCATATCTCTCTTTCGCCCTCCTCTCTCTCTCTCTCTCTCTCTCTTTCCATCATCTCTTCCTCTCCACTTTCATATCTATGCTTCTCTCGTTTCTTCCCCCTCTCTCTCTCTCTCTCTCTCTCTCTTCATCTTCTCTTCTCTCCACTTTCATATCCTTCTCCTCCCCCCCCCCTCTCTCTCTCTCTCTTTCTTATTCTCTTTCCTTTTTCTTTTCTGTTTTCCCACTTCTCCCTCTCTCTCTCTCTCTCTCTCTCTCTCTCTCTTTCTCTTGCCTCGAAGAGGGAACAACATCTCCAAAAACACAACAAGGGCCTCTACCACAGAACTGGGTGGGTCTAGTGCTCAATGAATATGAAACACAACAGGGGAATCTTCTTGGGGACTTCCCTTAACTTTTTCCAGGACACAGGCCTATCATGTTTATACCTGACAACAGGAAAGTAATACAAAAAACAAGCATAATGTAAAATACAGCAAATGAGATCGACTGCTGTATAAGCCAATATTTACACGCCTCTTACATGCATATTCACAGATGACAGGGAAACATAAATTTTCCTGAGTTGTTGTTTTTGCTATGATTAACACAGAAAACTTACTGTATGTGTACAATGTATTAAAGGCATATGCATTGCCAGCTTGTTTTGACAGGTTGATAAATGACTCTACCACAATACCATACAATTTACTAAGTTGGTGGCTAACACCACAGTAATTTCAAAATTGGGAAAGATATGACCTCAAAATGAAATAGAATGTTCCAACAGTCTACAGTAGGTCAATGCACTTTAATATGGGTATCAAAATAAGGTCACTGTGATGCAAAACAATGACTTGGTAACCACAAAATATTTTAATTTCATTAAACAAACAAACAAACTCAACATCAGGGCCCTGTTTTATAACACTTGTTATCAATGACAAATGCTAAATTTCTATGAAAAATCTGCTCATTACTATACCATACAAATTTCCTAAGTTGTTGGCTTTTAATACACAGTAATTTCTAAAATTGGGAAAGATATGACCTCAAAATGAAATTATCCTATTCTCAGAACCATATCCTTATCCCATGACATTAAGATTAAGTTTAATTTTGGAAAAAAATAAAAATATCAGGAAGACAGGATTTCCTTTAAAAGACAATAATTTTAAAGGTAGAATGCACTGTTGGTCAAGGTAAAAGACAGTCACAGAGAATGTAGATGCTCTGCAACCACAGGAATTATGAATTTCTTTGAAATCAAGACAAAGCAATCCACACCCATTCAGAGTTATAGGAAGAGAAAAAGAAAAATAGGAAGCTGGGGAGGAAGCACAGAAAGTCAAAATGTTCTATTTGCCTTCAAATTAACAGGCACATACATACATGTATATGGTTCCCCTTTGTACATATCCACATACCTAGAGTTCTCATTTGGGAATATCCAATAATTGTTTTGGAAACATTCCAGGCTTAAAATCACATGGCAGTTATCCTCACATACCTCTATCTGATAGATTTAATGTTAAACGCCATTTACCAGATATATAGAGGTACATGCTTCATGCTTTTTATGTTCAAAATGACTTTACTTGTATGGATTATGATGTCTGTTTGAGAGTCAAACAGAAGGGCCCTTTGAATCTGTCCTTCTGTCTTTCAACAAATATTATGAAGTGGTAAAAAAACCACACTGCACTTTAGAATTAGCCATGAAACTTTATATACATGTACATGGTGGGAACTTGTAACTGCATACAATGAATACTTCACACTGAAACCAAAATCGTCGGATTGACTTAAACAATTTATGATTCTGAATTTGTATTTGTACTGCTCCCCCTCCTCTTTCTCTTCCTCTCTCTCTCTCTTTCTTTTTTCTCTCCGTTTTCCCATTTCCCGTCTTTCTCTCTCTCTCTCTCTCTCTCTCACTCATTTTCTCTTTCTTTCTGTTTTCCCATCTCTCTCTCTCTCTCTCTCTCTCTCTCTTCATCTTCATATCTCTCTTTCCCCCTCCTCTCTCTCTTTCTCTCTCTCTCTCTCTTTCCATCATCTCTTCCTCTCCACTTTCATATCTATGTTTCTCTCGTTTCTTCCCCTCCCTCCCTCTCTCTCTCTCTCTCTCTCTCTCTCTCATTTTCTCTTTCTTTCTCTGTTTTCCCATCTTTCTCTCTCTCTCTCTCTCTTCATCTTCATATCTCTCTTTCGCCCTCCTCTCTCTCTCTCTCTCTCTCTTTCCATCATCTCTTCCTCTCCACTTTCATATCTATGCTTCTCTCGTTTCTTCCCCCTCTCTCTCTCTCTCTCTCTCTCTCTTCATCTTCTCTTCTCTCCACTTTCATATCCTTCTCCTCCCCCCCCCTCTCTCTCTCTCTCTTTCTTATTCTCTTTCCTTTTTCTTTTCTGTTTTCCCACTTCTCCCTCTCTCTCTCTCTCTCTCTCTCTCTCTCTCTCTCTCTTCTCTCTTGCCTCGAAGAGGGAACAACATCTCCAAAAACACAACAAGGGCCTCTACCACAGAACTGGGTGGGTCTAGTGCTCAATGAATATGAAACACAACAGGGGAATCTTCTTGGGGACTTCCCTTAACTTTTTCCAGGACACAGGCCTATCATGTTTATACCTGACAACAGGAAAGTAATACAAAAAACAAGCATAATGTAAAATACAGCAAATGAGATCGACTGCTGTATAAGCCAATATTTACACGCCTCTTACATGCATATTCACAGATGACAGGGAAACATAAATTTTCCTGAGTTGTTGTTTTTGCTATGATTAACACAGAAAACTTACTGTATGTGTACAATGTATTAAAGGCATATGCATTGCCAGCTTGTTTTGACAGGTTGATAAATGACTCTACCACAATACCATACAATTTACTAAGTTGGTGGCTAACACCACAGTAATTTCAAAATTGGGAAAGATATGACCTCAAAATGAAATAGAATGTTCCAACAGTCTACAGTAGGTCAATGCACTTTAATATGGGTATCAAAATAAGGTCACTGTGATGCAAAACAATGACTTGGTAACCACAAAATATTTTAATTTCATTAAACAAACAAACAAACTCAACATCAGGGCCCTGTTTTATAACACTTGTTATCAATGACAAATGCTAAATTTCTATGAAAAATCTGCTCATTACTATACCATACAAATTTCCTAAGTTGTTGGCTTTTAATACACAGTAATTTCTAAAATTGGGAAAGATATGACCTCAAAATGAAATAGAATGTTTCAACAGTCTGCAGTAGGACAATGCACTTTAATATGGGTATCAAAATTAGTGCTGTAGTCAAACGTTTAACCGTCCGGTATCCGACTGTCCATGGCGGATTCCGTTTTTAATTGGACGGTTTCGTTTTCCCGTTTTTTTTGTATTTATTTTTTTTAATTTTTTTAAAAAATTTTTAAATTTTTTTTTAAATAATTTTTTTTTTTTAAAGTTTCGATTTATATATGCCCCTCCACCTGGTACTATGCCTGGCAATGTCTACCAGCTCAGTAATCTGTGCGTTGACTCACCACTCCGAAACTAGAACAACACTCCAATTTGTCTGTCATCTTGGTTTGAAAGTAATCTTTGTAATAGATCTCAATATATAGTTTATAATAATAATTCATCCAACTTTTACACACGGCGTACCACAAGGTTCTATCCTAGGTCCTCTAATGTTTTTAATTTACATTAATGATCTTATACATTCTTCTAAATGTTCTTTTAAATGAATATTCTTCCCGCTTGGGTTTTTTCACAGTCGGTCAAAAAAACAACTCAAAAAAACTTTTATTAATTTTTTTTTTTTTTTTTTAAATAATTTTTAAATTTTTTTTTTTTAAAAATCGTTTAACCGAAAAAATGTCCGGTTTTGACTGGCGGTTAAACGGAATTGGAGATATCCGTGATGTTACAGCACTAATCAAAATAAGGTCACTGTGACGCAAAACAATGACTTAGTAGCCTCAAAATATTATATTTCATTAAAACAAACAAACGCAACATCATGGCCCTGTTTCATAACACTTGTTATCAACGACAATTGCTAAATTTATATGAGAAATCTGCTCATAGCCAATCAAATGCTATAATTTCAGTAGCTTATAACAGTTATTGTGACTTGTTATTGACAACAAGTTTAATGGAACAGGGCCCAGAAGTGGTCAAGGAGAGGGTAGAGTAACAGGAAATCAGGACAGGAATTATTTTTCTGGTCCATTCGATTGATTCAACTTTAATAGTTCAATTGAAATTGTTGTTGTTCTGTCTTGGATATTATCAAGAATATACTGGTGTTTAAAAAAAAAAGATCAATCCTGACATGTCAACTCTTCGATTGTAATTTATTTGAGGATTCCAATAGAAATATTTAACAAAAACTCTGCACAAATCAAGTCAATCACGCATAATGACGATTAACCTGTAATAAAAAGCTCTTTTTTTCTTAAACTTGTGTGTTAGTTCTCTGTTTTAGTTGATTTCTATAAGTTGAATAATAAAAATGATAATCAGTGAAGTCTCTAAATTAGCAAGAGCAAAATTTGTAATCACTATTTTGTGTACAAATTAGAGGTGTCTTTCTGGTTTATTTTTTTTTTAATTTTCGTTCACTTTCATTCATTTATTAAATAATAAAAAAGTGGAAAACACAAAATAATTTTTTCCAATTTGAGGAGAAGTTGATTTGATTCATTCAGATGTTTCGAAAAGTCTGAACTACTGAGTTTATTATGTAATTTCTTTCTAATCGCCTTTTCCTTGTCGTCTTACTTTCATCATCATTCCGCTTCTCCATGTCTTCACAGTTCCAACTGTTCCATTCTTCTCATTCCACCCCCTCCCTATCTCCCTCTCCCTCTCCCATCTTCCGCATGTCTTCCTGTTTTTCCTAACCTTTTCTCTCCCTTTCGGTAATTGTTTAATCATGTTTCTATGATAAATTCTTATATATTGTGTAGCTTTATAGACATCCAATGTGCATTACGGTTCGAAATTAAACAAATCTTCAGTACTTATTTGTTATAACTCCATTAATCAGCCTCAATTTATATTTAAAATATGAATATTCCTCACTTAACAATGATTACAGAAAAAAAAAATAATGCCAAATCTATTTTATTTGTTTCATCAATTTGTTTGCAAGTAGGGAATATGTAATAAGTTATGATCTACCCGACTGTGTATTATTTGTACTTATCTATATCTAAGTTTGTTGAAATGCTTTTTAATACATGTAAAACTTACAATGTAATTTAGCTTTCGGGCTACCATTTTGAAGTTGTCTAATAAAAAACCATTCTACTACTACATTAATCAAAATTCCTGTGTCGGATGCTTCAGTGGTGGTCAAACCAACCCCTAATAAGGCTGTGCATAAGCATGTAATGCAGTAGTTGTGTACACGCCCAGGCATAAGGACAGATACACATGTACTCGGCCGCCGGCGCAACAAAAAAACAAAAAACAAACAGCGGCCGTGTATACGTGTACGAGAAATAATACCAATGTAGTTTCCAAACGTACATGTACGTGTACTCATCGCAGCCTTACCCCCTAACCATTGAAATATTGTGTCATGCCTGATTTGCCCATCACAATGGAAAACACAGATTTCCTGGTTTACAATTCACAAGTAACTATTATAAATACATCAATGGAACCCTATGCCCTACATCACAAAGATGTCTTCTATATAGTAGAATAATGGACTGTGTTTTACGAAGTGAGAAAAAGAAATTCTTACATTTCTCTGCTTTTTCATCTCCTCCTTCTTCCGGATGTAGGATTCAATCTCTGTCCTCTTTGCAAGGTATTCACTGAGAATTAAAACATATACATTCATCAGAGTTTCAAACCGAGTATTTTATTCCTTAACAAATATGTTTTCAAATTTCTTGGTATAAATTTGTGGTAATGTTTACCCCATTGTGCAATAGGTAAAGTTAGTTAAAGTTGCTTAAGCGTTGGTATATAGAGGGCAGCACACGGACGTACACACAGGAGCGTAATACCCGTTGGCTCATTGGTATGTAGTGATCGCCAAGTTGCCTCCTTCATGAACTACTATAAACCCATGCATTAACATCTGTAACATGAAAACTGCTGTAGGGCCTAGTGCCAGAAAGGGATTTCAGCAAACCATCTGGTCTTATTATTAAACAATTCCAATTAAAATTGAATTTCTTCATCAACAAAATTTGTAAAGCAAAGGATCCTTGATATTACATTTTACAATTGCATGGGGCTACAAAATTATCAAAAAGAGTTGAATTTTAAATATTGAAGTCCACACCACCAATCCCCCCCCCCCTTCCCCTTCCCAGTTCTGACTTTTTTTAGACTTACTGGACTTCTTTCTTTGATCGTCTGAGTTTGGTGATTTCATTGACGATGCGTTTCTCATCTCGTAGCTTGAAGTGCTGGGTCTGAAGCTGGTACTCCAGCTTGCGGATGTTGTCATCGATAGCCTTCTCTGTCTTGTGAGGCAGGTTGGCCTTGATCTTGGACAGGACGTCGCTCTGAAATGGTGCAAAAAACGGTAAAAAGAAGGTCACTTTTGTTATTTTTTTGATATTTTTTTGTTGTTGCAGTATTAAAAATTGTATTCATTAAAATGCATGTACATCATACAAATTATTTTAAATTACATAACATATAGAGTACACAATATACACAACTTTTTTTATTTTGAATGAATAAATCTTATCGTAATAACCCCCTTCCCCAACTTACAACACAAAACAATGACGAAGCCTACAAAATATTTGATACTTACAATAGACCAGTTCACGGTTAGCACATTACTGCAATGACCCCGAATATCCACAGATCTTCAAAACATGAAGACGTCCCACTTTGTACATTTTGAAATATTCAATCCTACAGCGATATATAGATAGACTTTGTTTCCCCTTTTCAAAGAATACTTCCACCTGTGTATCATGGAGTGCACTGAATGTGCATGAATGAATAATGATCACATAACTCTCATGAGCACGCATCCAGTATTACGTCTCCGTGTATTTCAAAATTTGTTCTGCAATGACCTTTATCTGCTCATGCTCAGACTGCAACCGTGAACTGGCTTATTCAATTACAGTTAGAAGTAAAATACCAATTTCTAAGTTTTTCTAAGTTTGTGATCATATGATAAAGGAAATCCTCAAGTACATTCAGTAATTATGATAACATTGCAATGGGACTTTTAATATCAATCTCAAAACTATGAGTTCTTGATCAGATAATAAAAGAATTCCTCACATACAATAAACCAACAGATAGAAGATACTAATGAAATTTAAAAGACCTTTTCTATTTCACAGAATGAAATGCATACAAAGAAGGTCAATGTTGTTATGGTGATGTAGGCCTACTGATGTTTGATAATTACAATTCAGTTACAGTTAGAAGTAAAATACCTATTTCTAAGTTTTTTCTGAGTTTTTGAAGATATGATACAGGAAATCCTCAAGTACATTCAGTAATTATGATAACATTGCAATGGGAATCTTGACATCAATCTCAAAGCTATGAGTTCATGATCAGATAATGAAGGAATTCCTCACATACAATGAACCAACAGACAGAAGATATTGATGCAATTTAAAAGTCTTCTTTCTATTGCACAGAATAAATGAGAATCCTCGTACTTGATGGCCCGAAATGCATACAAAAGATATAGGCCGGGGTCAGATCCATGATTCTGTAGGGGGATGGGATAATGCAATTTGTAAAAAAAGAAAGTCTATGGCAAGCCTTCCCTACAAAACACTGAAAACTGTGATGCATTATCGGATGTCACTTCATTGGTTTTATGAAAATTGAACAAAGCTTTGTAGTATCAGGTAACCATTTAAATCCTATCACTATAGAGTCTATACAGCAGAAATAAATACCGGTAGAACTAAAAATTGATTCTAGATTAGTTCAATTATTATACTTATAACAATTTTACTGAGTAAAGAAGATCAAAACTATTATGTACATACTGTACATGTACTTCAAATGTGAAAATCCATTTATTGCCAATTTTTGTAGTTTGAATATATATTTATTGGTCTTTGTGTCTTTGTCTCTTTCTTTTTTTCCTTTTTTTCAGTATTATATTACCAATGGACAATGCATATCATGACAAAAGAATGACCTCATGAACGACATCTGAACTTATTTCAATTTGAATAGTCCTGAAATGATCACTCCATTTGTTTATTTGTTGAGCCTTATTCTCCAAAGCTGATATGATTCAAAGTCAACAGATATGACCAAATCCTTAGTTCTCTTTCAAAAGTCATAACCCCCCCCCCCCCTCGGGTTCAACGCTACAAGGTCACTTTGGCAATCACAATTTGGCAATCAGCCCAAACTCATGTATGACCTAAGAAGCCATGACTTGCATTTGTTTGGGTAACTGCGCTTGATATTTTGATACCTTTTACAAGGACATTGCCTTTCATAGGTTAATTAGAAAACCTTGTTTACATTTCGCACAAATTGTACATGTACAGGTACGTGTACATGTAGGTCAAATAACACCTATCTGACCTTTTAAAAACAAATATTGGTCATGCATGTGGAAGTTGACCCCACCTAGATTATGTTTTTGTTCATTGTCAGATGTCCCATCACAAAGTTGGATTTCTTTTCAAAGTCCTTTCTTTTTGACTGCTTGTGTGAAATTACTGCCATAGTCAACTTATCTAAAATACTTGTTGCAAAATCATTCAACAAAGTTATGGATAGCAAAATGCTACAAATTGATTACTGGTACAATCTTATGGAATCCCTTTGAAAATACCCCTCATTTATGAATATATCTTACATTTTGCAGTTAACAAAACAATAGAACATATTGATTTCAATTGAAACTCAACATTTTTTTAATAATAAGAAGAGGTTGTCGGCTTCCCGCAAAAAGGCTGTTACTGTCATTTACTATACTACATACAGTAAAACCTGCTTTTAGTGACCCCTGTCTACAAAGACCACATTTTTTGTTTCCCTTGAAAATAATTTCTAATTGAAACATGTCCTAAAGGAACTTGTCTACAAAGACCACATTTTTCGTTTCCTTTGAAAATGGGTTCTCATTGAAACATGTACTAAAGGAACCTGTCCACAAAGACCACTTTTTTTTTCCCCTTGAAAATGGGTTCTCATTGAAACATGTACTAAAAGAACCTATCTACAAAGACCCCTTTTTGTGTTTCCCTTGGGCGGTCGCTATAGACAGGTTTCACTGTATACATTGTAGTTCTTTAATGACCTTCTTGCAGGCAGTCAATGATTTGATGTGATTTGATTTGATTCGGTTTATTGCAATAAAAGAACATGCAGCTGGGAAGCTGAAATTGCTCAATTTACAAAGTCAATGGATAACTCATATATTACATCAACATCTAAATATATAATCTAAATATAATACAAATATTAAAAACATTAAAAATGAGATGTACATGTGAATTGGGCTCATACCTTTTTTGAGATATCATCGCTGAGTTTATGGATGTTGTCGTCAAACTCCTTGCGTTTGGTGATGGTAGATTCTTTTAATTCTCTGGTGCTTTTCTGCTCCTTGATGAGGACTTCTCTTTCTGCTGTTTCAGCAGGGGAACTGTCGTTATTAGGTCTACCCAAAGCTTTCTGTTAGATAGAGAAAGGAGTTTAAAGGGATCGTTTAACAATGTTAAATCTGAGATACACGGCCCTACTTGTTATCAGTGTCTGTGATATGGTGTAATATTGAAGCCCTAAAAAAATTGCGCTTCAAAATGATCAAGAAGTGCCTCAAAAAAGTAAAAATCTTTGAGTGACCGGTTTTACCATACTCGTTTTCCCCAATAGACTGTAGTGTTATGAAAACCGTCAGGCGAACGGTTTTCAAAATTTGTAATTCCAATCATAAATATCTTGATAATCAGACAGGCGATCGGCTTGTAAAAGTCATGGGGCTCCTGACTGACCTTAAGGTTTATAATTATCATTGCATCATGAGCTAAATCCAGAATTTTATTTCAGAATCTGAGACAAAGTTACCGGATCCCTTTAAAGGGAATTCATTATTATGCTTGGTATTTCCATTTTTAGGCAAATACAAAGAACATTTTCAAATATACAAACATTTAAATATATAATATGTCAGCACACAAATCCCCATTTCTGTTCAATACTGTTAAGAGCCAGAAGGGCGTTAACTACTTCATTTTGCAAGAGTTAACACCCTTCAGCTCTCAACAGATGATACAGCCCGCTACTTTATATACAGTGTTACCACAACCATCATAAACACCATCACCACAATCCCCAGCATCCCCATCCCCACCACCACCACCACCTACTGTACACCACAATCACCATCATCAACACCCCTATCATCATCATCATCATCATCATCATCATCATCATCATCATCATCATCATCATCATCATCACCACCACCACCACCGCCGCCACCACCACCACCACCACCACCATCATCCCTGTCCTCATTACCATATCCACGCCAAAACCACATTCACAACCAATATCATAACAAACCACAACCATGCACCCGAACCATTCATCACCACCACATACAGTGTACATGTACATGTAACCATCATCATCATCATCATCATCTTTGTCATCGTTGTCGTCACAGCCACCAACACACCTTTATAACTTCAGCCTTCTATAGTACTGATCCTAACTGTAAGAGCTTTTGAGTCTCTCTCAAGCTGGCCTCTTTGGGGTTGACGTACAGACACCACCATTATTATCATCCCCTCAACCTTCCTCACATCATGAATACAATTACCACCACCAAATCCAATATAACCACCCTCACCACCACCCTCATCATCATCACCACCACCACCACTATCATCATCATCATCACCACCACCATCATCATCACCACCATCACCATCATCATCATCACCACCACCACCACCACATCACCCCCGTTCTTACCAGTTCAGCCTCCTTAGCACTGATCTTCTCTGTAAGGGCTTGTGATTCTCTGTCAAGCTTCAGTCTATTGGGTTTGGGTACAAACCTCCTCTTACCATTCCCTGTAATGAAAATAAAAAGAATGAAGCAAGAGATGAAGACCCTTTCTCACAACACTCAAATGTAAATTTAATTCAATATATAAAGTCAAATTTAATTGACTACATAAATCTTCTTGATATTGACAATTGATGTCACATTGGCAATGTTGATTACCAGTAGGTCATAGAAGACAATAGCAAATCTATTTTCTTGACTCATTAATCTGTTTGTACTTGAAATCATATACCGGTAAACATTTAGCAGACCTGATATGATTATATGCTTAAACATGAAAGTTTTTCACACACTGTCGTCTTCTTCCGTGATTCATATGCTTCAGCACAAGTTGTACAACTTGAATGTCACAAGGTAAAATATACCAAAGTAAAAAGTTGTATTAGAATACACAGCATATACATGTACATGTACACATGTAGTTTAAGATCCAAATTCGATATCATCCAGTACATGAAAAATGCTATATCAGTTTCCACTAATGAATATATAGACTACATTAACAAAATAAAACTAAAGGGTATTTCACTATACTAACTATACCCATTCTGTTTCATTTGTTATGTTTAAAGAATAGTACACACTTTATAATATTGATTATAACATGTCAATTAATGTCTCATGACTGCATACATACACATACAAATACATGTACATGTACATGAATATAAAATAAAATGATGTATAGTACAACTAAACATACATTCAAATATCGTTAAAAATTAATGATGGACGCATATATTTTCATAACCTTTCAGTATATAGAATGTACACATGTACAGTGTACCCCCAAAGCCCCATATTTTTTATTTTTTCGAGTCATCAGCCTATGTACGGTACATGTACATGTACAGTGTACATGTCCAGTACATAACAATGATCCTGTTAACTGTCTATTTATCACAGATGGGACTTCCTTTTGCCATGACAGAGCCACTGAAATGATTGTAACCACATCAGTAAACAGAATACAAAATGTCTACTTTGAACTCTATTTACTAGGCCACAAAACCACAAAAGATATTGGCAATAACATATCAACAGTGCCTGTCTGCAATGAATGATAAATGTGTTTGTTATGCATGTGACTCTTCCTCATATTGGAACTCCCTCTCCGACTCTCTTTGACCATCTCTCTCTCGCTCTCTCTCTCTCTCTCTCCCCCTCTCTCGCTCTTGCTCACTCACATTCAGACCACAAGGGTGATAACAAGTCAAAGGTGTTATTTAATAGGTGAACAATTACAAGGACAATGAAAATAAGCCTACAGTCCAACATTTGAATATAAAAGACTGCAAAATAAATAATAAAAACAGGCCAGGTTTAAATTAACATAATTAGTAGATAATTACGTAATTTTTCGTTTCAATAAATATTGAACATTCAGATGCCTAATGTTAAAAATAGCAACGAACTGTGCATGAAACTGCTTGGCTCTCGACATGTAGTATCTGCAGTGTGACTGTACACATGTAAATTCAATTTGCAATTACATGTAATAACAATTTTGTGAGTACCCTCTCTCTGAGACCATGTTTGGTGTCAAAACCTCGTTTAAGGTTTAAATCATAGTTTTTTCTTAAACATATTAATATCAAATTATTAAATAAAGACACACACTTTCTGCAGTACATGTACATGAATCAAACCATGTGTCAGCAAATATTGACTGGACTTTGCTGAGCCATGCCTTTGAAACAGTCCATGAGTACACCCTACGATATTACCATTTGTACTCCAAGAATCGGAGGTCTGATAATTTTAAGTTATCAAATGTCCTTATTTCATTTGTTTCTACCTCTCCTCTCCACACTCCCCACCCCACCCCCCCCCCCCCAAAAAAAAGGGGGAAAGAAATGAAAAAAAATAATAATTAATAAATAATAATCTGTACAATCTCTAAAGTCTTTAAACCCCCCCCCCCCCAAATAAAAATAAAATAAAAAAAAAGAACATCAAAGGAGAACTTCAGCAAAGGGTGAATTTTAATGAGTAATTTCAAGAGGATGTACAAATAAATGACGAATCCTCTTTTCACTTCCAGCAGTTACACGCGTCTGATATGACATACGCCTTCGCACGTCCGGACAATCAGCTATTACATTGTTTACTGAGCCTGCTGAAGTTAACTCTTCAATTCCTGTATTAGGAAGTTTCCCAAGAAAACGGGAAACTCAATTTCCAAGGACTTGACTTATTTCCTCAATGGGAATCGCAGACTGGCTCTATGGTTAAATTATATTGAACTACTCATGGATGACTTTTCACAACCTTCTTATCTGAAAAATGAAACTGAAAGTTGACACGCATATGTACTTTTCTCAGATCAAGTTATTGAACAATATCCTACATGTATGTACAGGTGTACACTGTATGTATTATATCTGTCCTTTGTTGAAATTATGCAGCAAGAAATTAATTAAATTCAGCTACAGTACCAGTACATAATTATCATAAGAATTGTGATGTATTTTTTCAATTCGTTTTTCATAATTGTTTTCATTTTGCTTGTACATGTATATATAACTGGGAAGGGAAAAACTACAGTATGCAACAATTTTTGCTTGACATTGCAGCCTATTAAAGGTATTACAAAGTTTTGGGAAATTTTCAAAATTGGCTGGATAGTGATTCTTTACAATTTTGTATTTGGATGCCTTTGTAGATGTATAATAAGCACTAGAAAATTTACCCCCTAAAACACTTCTGCTTTTGAGAAAAATTCAATATAAAAATTTACCGGTGCTCCCGGTAAACTTTGATAAATTTCAAACAGCGCCTACGGCCATACAATAGTTTGCGACCATGAAAATCTCAGAATATCCAGTTGTGATATATAATTTCCAAGCCAATTGGTCGATTATGATAGTCAAGAAACATTGTTTTCTAGCTCAATTAATATCCTGACCTTGAGAGGGAGCTATACAACTTAAAAGAGTTTATTATTTACAATTTCATCACTTTAGACTCGATTTCGACAGCGACAACGATCACTGATTATTGTAGGATCGCATATGCTCCCAATATGTTCATTTGAACCAAATTCATGACCCCATACCAAAACTTTGTATAACCTTTAAGCCAAGTAGTGGACTCAAAAACATTCCATCGATATTGAAATATCAATAAAATACTTTGATTAGGAGCACAGTCCTATGCCGAAGTTCAACGGACTTGTACGTGTATATGTACAATGTTCATGCGTACATGAATGTGTATTTAGTCAAATATTTGTTGTACATCTTTATGTCAACAGGCTACAGTCTGTGAACAAGATACTGTAGTCTACTATACCCATTTCTTAACTGTGCCATAAATGATAACTTCCATGGAAACCTCGATTTGATTGGCTGTTGACTGGTGTTGCCATGGTAGTTAATACTGTTGGCAAAGTTACCATCAGTGGTAAGTTTTATGCAACAGGGAACCTGTACATTAAATAAAATTGCATTTACATGTACCAAGTGGACAAATAATGTTTTTCAAGCAAGCACTGTTAAAGCTTAATTTGTCCAGGCAGGGTAATAATGTAAATAAAGTAATAATTGGGTAACACCTTGGGCAATGGAACAAATATTGTCTCTGTAATGAACTTTGGAATATATTTGCTCAGTGAAGAATGATGACATAAGAAACAGACAGCAAAAAATCAAATCATCTTTATTTCTGTAATGGTATTTTTGTAACCTTTGCGGGCCATGCCGTTCACTCGACACTTACAATAATTCACTTATTTTCTTTATAACATAAGAAAACTTCGGTAAAGCAATATCCTGAAGGATTGCTATGTCAAAGTATATGAAATATTATGTACATGTATGTAAAATAATATTTTGATTCTTTGTATGTTTGTAATATGTGACCAAAACAAATTTCCAATATTGGACAATAAATTGAAATTGAAATTGAAATTGAAATTGAAACAAACTACACTTTTAACTATCATATAAGCTATCCCCTCTGACTTTAATGGCATTCATTGTACATGTACACTGTAGCCCTTGTCCAGTATAAAGGACTATGTATTTATCACACATACACTGTGATGATCTAGAGTCTAGACCTACATGTACAACACATGTACATGTACATGTAGACAGAGTACGAGTACCGATAGGTAAAAAGTATAAATTTATCCTTTTCCAGATACATTGTACATGTATGAGGCCATTGTACTATTATGGCCCTGAAAAATAGCGAGTTTTCTAACATCCTTCTTCCCAGTCACTCAAAAATCAGAAACCCTTTATTTTGTCTACATGTTCCTTGCACGACTATTGGTGTACTGTGGAGACAAAAGTATTTTTCTAAGAAGGTCCCTAAAGATGTAGTAAACTGTCTGTTGTCTGTGGTTTTCCTGGCCTGGCTGTTGAAGATATAGACTCAATTCAGACTTTGAGATAAACTGAAAAAGCAAACAAGAAATCCATGTACCAGTAGGCCTACTGTATGTGTAGGCCTATCATAGTGCTGTTGTTTTAACTTCTTTCTTTCTTTTTTCTTTTTAGTGGTAAGATTTATGATCCCATTAAAACACAAATATATGTTTACATGTTGTAACTATGGGAAACTACATGTACATGTACATTATACTCTATATATCGTTTATGTATGCATAATGAAGCTGTTCTGCTGTTCAATTGCAGTCCTCTAATACATTTCAATGTTGTGATTATGTGATATTCCATTTTTCGACACAGTGCAATTTTTCTTAAACCAAAAATGTGATGTGCAATAAATGATAAAAGCCAATAGACTGTTAGACTTGCAAGCCTGGTGTTGGCTTGTGTAACTGGTTTTCCACTTCAACCCATGGGTCAAAGATAATGAGGATATTTTTGTGGATGCTGCTCCTACAAGTATAAAATCACTGGCCACATTTGTCAAACAATTTGATGGCAATAGTCTCACAGTGCAGACACTGCTGGGCACAGCAAATGACAAGGGTAAGCGCTTGCAAACTACTATTATCTGGCTATTGTAAACACAATCAAAGGACCATACA